AAAGAAATCGTGTCAGTCCTCTAATGATCTTCTTGCCTAAATCACGTTAACCACGTGTTTAACGTCATGTGACTTACAGAACGGCCTGTCCCTGGACTTCCCAACGGTCATGTGTTGTTTTGGGACAACCGACAATAAACCTGTTTTGTGGTTTCGGTGCGAGGCGGCGTTGGCACAGCGGTTTCTGACACGCTGCAAAGTGACGGTACGTGACGGTAAGTTTATCCTCCGCCTCGTCCATTGTTGCTACAGCATCACCTGCACGTCTGTGATTGGCTGAGGGCGTCCTCTGCATCAGGACCTTCCCAGAGGTCCACCCACTGATGAGGCTGCGATTACTGAGGTCAGTTTGAAGGTTTGAGGCCCCACGCTGGGTCACATGATTTTCTAAGATGGTTAACATTCTTATTTGTTTGATATAGTTGGAATTTGAAAAACAGATTTAATGGGTTTGACACAATCCAACACAACATCAAGTTCTACCTTGGAGAATTTTAGAGCGTTCATTAGAGTTAATTAAACTTCTGACGGCTGTAGAATCACACACACAATCAGACAGGTGAGATGTTGCTCTGCTGGCATCATTACGTAACAGTGTCGGACCTACAAATCTGCTCACAAGCCAGACAAAAAATTAAGAAACTGTGGTTTAGAGATTTAAGGTTCAAGAAAATAGTTCAAATGGTTAAATCACACAGATAAAAAGTGGCTGTTGGTCTGATGAATCCCTCACAGGTAAAAAGCTAAAACGCCCACACAGTTTGGAAATGCGAGGTTTTACATATAAATACACAGCATTAGTGCGTGCATGCGTGTATATACTACATTATGTACATGATACATGTACACGACAGCATGTTGAAATTCTGGTCTGTGCGGGTGATAATGCCAAAACTGAAAAGTTGAAAAGAAAAGTGGTTAAAGGAGCAGAAACAGGTGAAGTGGTGAGAAAAGAGCTCAAGTGAAGACCTACAACTAAAAGACCACCTGAGGCTCCACCTGTCAGCCGCTGTGCCGTCTGCTGATCTGTATGGTGTGATCGCTTCACTTTTTACAGTGTAGGGAGTCCACAAACATGTCTATCAGTGTTTCCTGTCCTCAAACATCTTCTTTTGTCCACAACCCAAATATATCTAGTTCACTGTCACACCTTGAACCTAGAATAAAAGTTTCACAAACCTGAAACTGTGTTTCAAAGAGACTTCAGCCTCTCCGGGACTGTCCGGTCCAGATTTGACAGGTCTAGGCATCACGTTAGTGGTTTTTGATCTGGACCTGAGTTTCCTATAACTTTCCCCTAAACTTCTGAATCGGAAGGCGTCTTCATGGTTATTTCTAAAAACACTGATAATACTAAGATGTTGAAGAATATTTATGGTGTGCCCAGGGAAGCTGGTGCAGAATATGAATAAATTTAATGTTAATATCAAGAAATCTCCTCTCCAGTACTGTGGTGTACTACATGAAGCAAAACACGGGAAGGAAAGGCATAAAAACAGATACAACCTTCTAAAAATTAAGGTAAATATTTGCTTCTAGACCTTAGAATATTAAAATAAACATGGTAAAAATACACACATACTGACAGAAGGACTTAATACCGAGACAAATAGAGAAGTGAAGGTAACTAGCATAGTAATGTTAGCATGCTGTGAAGGTAACGAACTGGACATGTGCAGGTTTCCTGAGGTGATCCAGCCAATCACAGAGGAGCTGCCTGACGATGATGAAACAACCGAACAGAACCACGAGACATTTCACACCACAAACAGGCCGAACCGGACCGGACCGGACAGGACCGGACCGGACCCTACCGTTGGACCGGACCCTACCGTTGGACCGGCGCACGATGTTCTCCAGGAAGGTGTTCTGAGGGGCCACGAGACCCCGCCGTCCTCCCGCCATCCTCCCGCAGCGCGAAGCAGAGCCGCTTCCCGCCGCTCACATATCTGATGCTGCACGAGCCCCGCGCGCTGTGGAGTATCTCTCTCTCTCTCTCTCTCTCTCTCTCTCTCTCCGTCTGTCTGTTCTAACCTCTCTCTCTCTCTCTCCCCCTGTGTGTCGCGCGCTCTCTCAGCAGCCTTGTCATTGGCAGACGGCTGCAGCACGAGCTTCAGGGTGAGCCACGGTGACGGCTGCGGGAGAGAGAGATCCAGGTGGAGGGAGGATGGTAAAGAGACACCTGCAGATGGTGAAAGAGAGAGAGAGCATACGTCAAACCTGTAATTAAAGGGTCAGTTCACCCAAATCTCTAAAAACACATCTAGCAATAGTCCGGGCGGGTATCAACTAAAAAAAAAAAAATGCCCGATCACAATCGATACGTATAAAACAACATAATTAAAGAAAATAAAAACATTACAGCCCTTTTTTTTTTTTGTCAGAAATAGCTAAATTTGGGAAAATGCGTTTTTTGCTTTCTGGTGGCGAGTCAGGCGTTCAGAGTGACGGTTAACAGTGTCGGTAACACCATGTGAGGGACACTATATAACACTGTATACGGTAAAACATACTGCATGTGAGGGACACTATATAACACTGTATACGGTAAAACATACTGCATGTGAGGGACACTATATAACACTGTATACGGTAAAACATACTGCATGTGAGGGACACTATATAACACTGTATACGGTAAAACATACTGCATGTGAGGGACACTATATAACACTGTATACGGTAAAACATACTGCATGTGAGGGACACTATATAACACTGTATACGGTAAAACATACTGCATGTGTATGACACTATATAACACTGTATACGGTAAAACATACTGCATGTGTATGACACTATATAACACTGTATACGGTAAAACATACTGCATGTGAGGGACACTATATAACACTGTATACGGTAAAACATACTGCATGTGTATGACACTATATGACAGTGTTATACAGTGTCATATAGTGTATATGATACTAAATATAATTCTGTATGTCACATTTTATTTGAAACTATAGAACACTGTATTTAACACTGTTTAAATCTCCTATAATGCTGTTAATGTTCTCCTGACTGTACTAACATGTACCACATGTTCTCCTGACCTTACTAACATCTACCACATGTTCCCTTGACTGTACTAACATATACTGCATGTTCTCCTGACTGTACTAACATGTACCGCATGTTCTCCTGACTGTACTAACATATACTGCATGTTCTCCTGACTGTACTAACATGTACCGCATGTTCCCTTGACTGTACAAACATCTACCACATGTTCCCTTGACTGTACTAACATATACTGCATGTTCTCCTGACTGTACTAACATGTACCGCATGTTCTCCTGGCTGTACTAACATGTACTGCATGTTCTCCTGACTGTACTAACATGTAAAATGTACCATATGTTCTCCTGACCTTACATGTACCGCATGTTCCCTTGACTGTACTAACATGTACCACATGTTCCCTTGACTGTACTAACATATACTGCATGTTCTCCTGACTGTACTAACATGTAAAATGTACCACATGTTCTCCTGACTGTACTAGCATGTACTGCATGTTCTGACTGTACTAACATGTACCACATGTTCTCCTGACTGTACTAACATGTACCACATGTTCTCCTGACTGTACTAACATGTAAAATGTACCACATGTTCTCCTGACTGTACTAGCATGTACTGCATGTTCTGACTGTACTAGCATGTACTGCATGTTCTGACTGTACTAGCATGTACCGCATGTTCTCCTGACTGTACTAACATGTAAAATGTACCACATGTTCTCCTGACTGTACTAGCATGTACCACATGTTCTCCTGACTGTACTAACATGTACCACATGTTCCCTTGACTGTACTAGCATGTAACATGTACTGCATGTTCTCCTGACTGTACTAGCATGTACCACATGTTCTCCTGACTGTACTAGCATGTACTGCATGTTCTGACTGTACTAACATGTACTGCATGTTCTCCTGACTGTACTAACATGTACCACATGTTCTCCTGACTTTACTAACATGTACCGCATGTTCTGACTGTACTAACATGTACCCCATGTTCTCCTGACTGTACTAACATGTACCCCATGTTCTCCTGACTGTACTAACATGTACCCCATGTTCTCCTGACTGTACTAACATGTACCCCATGTTCTCCTGACTGTACTAACATGTACCCCATGTTCTCCTGACTGTACTAACATGTACCCCATGTTCTCCTGACTGTACTAACATGTACCCCATGTTCTCCTGACTGTACTAACATATACCGCATGTTCTCCTGACTGTACTAACATATACCGCATGTTCTCCTGACTGTACTAACATGTACTGCATGTTCTCCTGACTGTACTAACATGTAAAATGTACCACATGTTCTCCTGACTGTACTAACATGTACCGCATGTTCTGACTGTACTAACATGTACTGTATGTTCTCCTGACTGTACTAACATATACTGCATGTTCTCCTGACTGTACTAACATGTACTCCGTGTTCTCCTGACTGTTGTAACTTCTTCTCTGCGGGGCTGAGGTGTTGCTGCAGTTTCCTGCTGCTGTGCAGACAGTGGAGCGGTGTCTCCCTCTGCTGGCTGTGTGGACGCAGTGCAGGAACACTGAATGATAAACACGAAAAAATAATAACGGACTGAATTATTATAAATATTTAATCTGCTTTACAGAACACTATGGAATACCAGCATCAGATTTAATTCATGAATAACCGGTGACATGAAATAAAATAATAAGTTTGACTTTGTGATATTTGGGATTCCCAGATATTTTATTAGGATGTTTTGTTTTCATTTATTTTCATTCAAAGTTTTCTTACCGTTAAATCTCAGATTTAAAGTGAGTTTTTGTTTATTTTTGTTTCAGTTTATTAGTTTGTGTCAGCGGAAGGATCTGCAGCCACGGGCGCTGCAGCAGCTGGAGTCGCACCGCCGCCCGACGGTGCGTAAAAAGCCTTCCGCCGCGGTGGTTAGATCCCGCTCAGTCACCGCAGTGAAGCGGCAGAAACCCCCCTCCCAGAAACCATTTCACACATTAAACCTATTTGACGTTCAGAGCAGACTCTGGTGCGGATATCTGTGGCGTGTTGGAGCCTGAAGCGGCCGTGTTTAACGCGGTGGGAGCGAAGAGAAGAGCGCGACAGCGACACGGCCGGAGCTGCGGAGAGCGAGCGAACAGCAGCAGAAAACAAACCCTCCAGCTCCTGCTGACATTTTACATCCAGACACAGCGGCTCAGAACGGTGAATTAACGCGGTGAGATGCCGGGGATGATGGATAAAGGCTCGGAGTATCTGGGGAAAGGTCGTTCAAACGGCACCAAGAGTCCGTCCAACGCTTCTAACGGACATTTTTCTGACGAGAGCGGCAGCGACGACGAACACGGTGGGTATAGCCTCGAACACACCTCTTGTGGCTCCGTATGTGCGCGTTTTGAAACGTGAGTATTTTGAATTAAACGCGTCCTGTGTCATGGGTGTCGGTGTTTTCCAGATGTGGGGATGCGGGTCGGAGCGGATTACCAGGCCAACATTCCCGAGTTCGAGCCCGGTGAGTTTTTTTTTTTTTACTGGTTCTCTACCTGAGAGACGGACGGTGGTAGCCTCGGTACATGTAAACACTCACAGCTTCATGTGTCGGTGGGTTCTGACAAACTGGACCTGCGGTGGACGAAGTACTCGGATCCTTTACTTAATTATTACCTCACTGTAAAAAAAAATTACAAGTACTGCGTTGACAATGTTACTTAAGTAAAACTATGTAAGTATAATCAGGAAAATGTACCTCAAGTATTTAAAGTAAAAGTAGTAAACGCAGAGTGAAAAATGTCCCGTGTGACTGTTGTACTGTCACAGAGCTGCAACAGTTTATCAGACTCGACTGTTAAATTAATCTGCACCTATTTTAATAATAGATTACATCATTTTTTAAGACAAATTCTCTGATTCAGCATCTTAAATGTGAATATTTTCTGTTTTTCGCTCCTCTGAGACAATAAACTGAATATATTTGGGTTTAGGACCAAATAAGACATCTGAGGAAACACTGATCAACATTTTCTTTTTACAACTAATCGATCAATAGAGAAGATCATTAATAACTGAAAATAATCTGATTATTATTCCTCGTGAATTAAACTATTTAGTATCAGAGTGCAGAGTGGATTCATCTGCTGATTATTTTCTCACTTAATCGATTGTAAAAAAATAAAAAATGGAAATGTTACCCGGAGCCCAAAGTGACACCTTCACAACACTTGTTTTGTCTAAACCTCAAAATGATTAAAAATACATTAAAATAATTAATAAGAAAAACAGTAAATCTTCATATGTGTGAACCGTTAAATGTTTTAGATGAAAAATGTCTTAAACTTCATGAAAATTGTTTTCAGTTTACTTTCTGTCAATCAAATAATGTACCAGCTGTACCTGTATAAACTTTTTAAATAACAAAACATCAGATTTTAAAACTCTTCATGTGTAAAAATCTGACTTTGTAAAGTAACTGAAGCTCTCAGATAAATGTAGTGAAGTAAAAAGTCCAACATCTCCCTCTGAGACGGAGCAGAAGGAGAAAGAAAAAACTCAAGTAAAGACTGCAGGAATAATAAAACTATAACTTTCAACAAGTAAGTCGATAAATGACAGTTTTTTTTATGATGTATTTGTGCAGAGAAAATGTTAAATTTCATTTTTAATAAAAAAAAATCTGAACTAGTCCCCCCCCCCCCAAATAATTTAAACAACCATTTTTTTTTAAATAAGAGTCTTTTAAATGTGTTGTAAATCTGTCTATTTCCATTTAGCTCTAGAAAACATTTTAAAGCTATATCATTCAGTTGAAGTGAAACCCACAGATGAAAACTTAATATTTTGGGAGTGACTCCAGTCCTGTCTGCTGAACTGTGTTGGTTTTTAAGCTCCTTGAGGTGTTTTTAATCTCAGGGGAGACAAAACAGGAAGGCTGTTAATTAAAAAAGAAGAAGTGAGCGTCCTGTAACAAACAGCAGCTCGGGGATTTTACAGAAACCAACAAAGAAAAAGAAAGTTGAGGCATTAAAAGCGTTTCACGTCTATAAAAAACGCTCTAAATCAGAGGAACAGCAGACCTTTAGTGTCTTGAATGGGGAACTATATTTCCCATAATGCACCTTGATGTTGGCCGTTTTCATCAGGCTGAGTCGTCGAGGAGGAAACCTTGACGCTCTTTCTGTTTGTCGGCCTTCAGGTTCCACGAAGTACTCGGACAAAGACAGCGGCGGGATGCTGGTCTGGTCTCCGTACCACACCATCGTGGACTCCAAGCGTAAGTGACCCGCCGCAGTCCTCCGTCAGGTCCTCGGCTCAGACCGGACTAACTGTGTGTTCTGTGTTTGGCCCCACAGTGGACGAATACATCGCCATAGCCAAAGAGAAGCACGGATACAACGTGGAGCAGGTGAGTCCTCGGACAGATGAAAGGACAGACCGATGAAATGAAAACAGTACCAGTGATGACGAGTTAGCCCGTCACGCTCACTACTTCCTGTTGGATGATCTACTGTCATTTTATTCCACTTATAGAACGATAATATTATAATAACGCAGCTACACCCTTTCAGTTTTTTATTCTTAAGAATATTCAGACAGAATTAAAATTTTTTATACACCCTAAATAAATGACATAAAACCACAACAAGCGTTTAGCCTGCCCGGCGTTGAGCTTTTCAAAATAACAGCGTTTCGCTTTCCAGATTTTGCTGATTTGGTTATTTATATTTTTGTGCTTGATGGTTAAGTAGACAAATTAGTTAAACAGGGTTTTTTCTGTCTGTTTTAATTGTGTTTATTGTTGACTTACGATCAGGAGTTTGCACAGGGTGCTTTATTTTGAAAACTAACCGGATTCCCTTTGCTGACTTCTTGCCCGGTTTATCTGCTCTGCGTGACTCGTGTTCTCCGCCAAGCGTCGTTTATCTCGGCCGCGATCAGCTCCGGCAGCGTTGCCCGGTGACTTCCGCAGCCCGGCCTGCCCGAAAATGTAACTACAGGTCACTACAGAAATGAACTTTCTCTGTGATCGATCAGCTGCAGCGGAGCGTCGGTCGGTCGTTGAGACGCATTCTGTGTCTCGGTTATAAAATGGGGGTTTTAGATAAAGCTGCACAGTTTGGAGAATAAAAGTCGGTGCGATTTGATTACAGTGATTGATTATTATTTTATTACTGTATTCATTATAATTTCATACAGTAGTGTGTGTGTGTGTGTGTGTGTGTATAAAATATTTGACCACTTGTTGTATTAAATCCAGTTCCAGCTGTTTTTATTTATTGAATCCTGGTGCAGGAAAAAGCCTCTGCATCCGTCTCTAATTTATTAATTCTATGTTCTAACTTGTCAATAATCATGTTGTTCAACATTTAATGATTTGCTGCAGCACGCCAAACTTTTTTAATGTCCCGCCCATCCAGGCTGCGATTGGTCGGTTGACGAATAAGTGACTGACGGCGCGTCGGCTCTGTGAAGAGTTGAACATGTTGAACAACAGACGGCAGCGAGCCAAACCTTCCTGATCTTCTCCCTGTGACCTGTGACCCTGCGACCGCCGTTTCTCTCGGTGCGCCGGTGGCGAGTCCGAGCGGCGGGGAGGGGGAGGGGGTTATTGTAGGTTGTTGGCTGAAAAGTTACTGGCACGCTGCTCATGAAACATTTTCCTGATTGCGCTGTAGGCCTATCTGTTGGTAGAGACACATGGTGAGAGCCCGGTGTGGGCGGGGCTAATGAGCGGACTGCAGCGCTTTGCGGTTATGTAATCGCACATGACGACATCGCGATCAGGTTAACGGTGCGGCCAAGTGTTAGAGAAGAAATTCACTCTCCAGAGGAAACGCTTGGTTAGAAACTCTGAGGAGGAGCGTCGGTGGGGAGACGTCGCTACTGAAACCACCTGCAGACGCTGAGGTGGCGTTTTAACGTGTGGACAAAGTCTGCGCGGTGTTAACGCTGTGTGTGTGTGCGTGTGTGCGTGTGTGTGTGTGTGTGTGTGCGTGTGTGTGTGCGTGTGTGTGCGCAGGCGCTCGGCATGCTCTTCTGGCACAAACACAACATCGAGAGGTCTCTGGCCGACCTGCCGAACTTCACCCCGTTTCCTGACGAGTGGACGGTGGAGGACAAGGTGCTGTTCGAACAGGCCTTCAGCTTCCACGGCAAGAGCTTCCACCGCATCCAGCAGATGGTAAACAACAACAACAACAAGTGTTTACGAGTCTCCTGTACAGTCTTATAACGTTAGCCACTGACTCACCGATTTACTCAGCTATACTCAAGAAGGATCTTGAGGTACTTGTACTTTAACTTCATACTTACTGACTGCATTTATGTGACAGCTACTAGTTTCGTTTTAGATTTTACATTAAGACGTGACGAGCTTTGAAAATTCAGCAAACCTCGTTTAAAAATGAGACGTCTGATGAATCATTGGCTGTGTTCGAGACGGAAAGGCAGCTGCCTCAGAAGGCGTCACGTTAAGTGAAGGCAGCTCCGTTTACATTAGTTTCAAACAGCCTTCTAGGGCAGCGCTTACGGCAACGTGTGACGTCAGCACGCCGTCTTACGTCTCTTCTGGCTGTGATGGCAGTTTAGCCCGTTTCCAACGCAGCCACTGTGTCATTTCAGTAAGAAGTGATCCTGTATTTCACCAGAGGTTATCAGAGAAAAGAGTCTGATGTGATCGTGTTTCCTTCAGTTACCGGACAAATCCATCTCCAGCCTGGTGAAGTACTACTACTCCTGGAAGAAGACCCGGTCCAGAACGAGTCTGATGGACCGACAGGCTCGCAAACTGGCCAACAGGAGCAACCAGGACGACAGGTACGTCCTCGCCGATCAACGGGACGCCCGAGAGACTCAGTTTAGACTGTATGTAAGAAGCAAGAGAGAGGACGTCCTCTCTAGCAGGTTTAAGTCGCCCCCTGCTGGCGGCTAGAGAGGACGCAGGTTTAAGTCGCCCCCTGCTGGCGGCTAGAGAGGACGCAGGTTTAAGTCGCCCCCTGCTGGCGGTTTAAGGTGTTTCCACGTTGGCATCAGATCTCTGACCGGAAGCTTCCCGCTTTAGAAAGACAGAAATTAAAACAGTCTGAGTCACAGTCAGTTTGTAAAACACGACACTGACTACGTGTTTTGGGAAACGGGCCTCTGGACAGCAGAGACTCATTTTACAAAGAGAAGGTTTGAGTCTCAGCAGATCGTAGTGTGTGGACGTGAACAGCAGGGGGCGCTGCAGCTCTGCAGGATGTTTCCTGTGAAGTTTTTCTTACTTCAGCTCCTGTTTCTTGGACTTTAGAGTTCGGCTGAGCGAGACAGGCCAAAAAACGATAAATCTCAAATCGTCATTTCTTCCAGGTTTAAAGGCTGATTTCTGCTCCTGAGTGGAAGTTAATGTGGTTTTAAACTTTTCTTTCTGCTCGATGCCAAACAGAGGATCACTTCACAGAACATTCAGAACTATTCTGATAAAATCTGCTTTCACCAAACGTGCACGAGGAAAATTAAGTTTAAAGTAAATATCTTAATAAAAAAATGAAGTGCTGAATTATTCGTTTATCGAGCATCAGGTCAGTTTTATGCTGGACAGGCGACAGCCTGCTGCTCTGCTATTGGTCAGATCAAAGATGCGTCTTTGTCACGTCGCTGTTCTTCTTCTGTGGTTTGATTTCATGTGTCTTTTTTGTTGTTGTTGTTGCGATGTGGCGTAACGCCTGAATTGTGTTGTTGCTGTTGCCGTAGTGATGAAGAGATGGAGGAGGCCAATCCCATTGAAGCGCACGACAGCGACTACGACCCCAACAAGGAAACCAAGAAAGAGGTACGTGGACACACCTGAGGCCTCGCAGCAGGACGCTCGACCCGATAGCTTGTTTTTACTGCAATGAATCTATAATTTACTCACTTTATTCTTGTCAGGGCTCCAGACTCTGTTTGTAAAAATTGCCCTGATGCACCTCAATTTTTCATTTAACTGCATCGCCGCAAAATTTAGCTGCACCTCCATGTTTACAGCATCTTTGGAGACGGTTTCCTTTATGTTCGACCGCGATACTGCAGAACAGTTTCCCCCCGCAAGATCTGGATCCTGGTCTTCACCGTCCTTTGCTGCTGTTGTTGTTGTAGGTAATTGTGAGTCAAACACGTCTGCTGCGTCTTCTAAACAAGGACGTGAGTTTGCTGACGTGTGACAGCGTTTTGCAGGAAACGGCGATGAGGTCAGATTTGTAGAAAAGTTGCAGTGATTGGTGAAAATTAAAACTTGCGCTTATTTCACAGGGATTTGTTGAATTTGTGTTGATGGTAGGGATGCACTGAATGTTCAGCCACCGGTGTTCAGCCTAATAAGTCAAAAGGCTGAATAAATTTTACTTACATCCGCTCCATCTGTGGCTGACTTCTTAGAAAAGAACCGCTTTGACTTTGACTGTCACTCGTCTGTGAGAAGGAGATTGAGCTAGCCGTGCCTACATTTGGAGTGCACACGTATTCCAGCCTTTACAGTAAGTGAAGCGGCCCAGAGCGAGCTGACAGGCAGGTTAGAGACTTTATCCTGTCAGTTTGTCTCTTTACAAAGACAAGTGTCTACCTGAAGAGAGCCTGTGAAGTCTTCATGTTACAACATTATTTATCAAACCGAGTCGGACTGGATGAATTTAGCGCGAGGAGGAAACACGTGACAACATCCTGTTTTCAAAATAAGGTGTGAAAATTAGATTAATTGGATTATATTCACAGAAAGTATAAAACACATTACATGAGTCTATTAAAAGTAATGGACACATGTAATTTACTTTACCGGACCCTCTCGGGCCCCGGACCCCCCCCCCCCCCCCCCATAGTCTCTCCACATCCTGTGGGAAACACTGAGGAAAAAGCTCATTTTGACTGTTTAATTTGCGCAGTGGTAAAAAAGGCACAATAAATGGGGAAAAATGTGAACATACTCGTTCAGTGTTCTGGAAAGTTTGTCTTTATATTTGGTTTTGGCTTCGGCCAAGAATTTAATTTCAGTGCATCCCTAGTTGCTAGTTGGGACATTGTGAAATCCTGGAGTACATAACTGTATATTCTGACCTTCTGTCATTTCCAACACATTAATCTTTATGTGAGTGATTGTAAACATTACGTTTCAAAGCTGCTTGTTTTTGCAGCAATGGCACAAATGTTACTGCGGGATGAGACGGACTCGCTGTACCTAATAAACTGGACACTGAAAGTCGTTTACTAGAGACACAGAAATCCAGACATTTGCGAAGCTTTCTGAACTTTCTGAACGGTGTAAATGAGGAATAATTCAGCAGAAAAGCCAATGTTCAGTTTAGATTCATGTCTTCAGCTGATTCCCAGCACAGCAACGTTCATGTTGGCGACATCACGACTTTAGATTTTAGTTAATTTAATTAAAAACAATCTTAAAGAAAAAGTTCAGGTAGCAAAACTTTTCTTTGATGTAAAACAAATCAGGACGGAGCCCGAAGCTGACGAGACGTCAAACAGCTGATCAGATGTTGGAATTCTGTTATTCAGCTTCCAGCCTCTTAAACCCCCCTCTGTGTTTCCTCCCCAGCCGAACCAGGTGGAGCCGGTGGTACCGGGCTCCAAGGTGGCTTTGGGTCGGCGGGAGCACCAGACCCTGCAGCACCGACACCACCAGCGATCCCGCTGCCGCCCCCCCAAAGGCATGTACCTGACCCAGGAGGACGTGGTGGCCGTGTCCTGCAGCGCCTCGGCCGCCAACACCCTCCTCCGTCAGCTGGACATGGAGCTGGTGTCCCTCAAGAGACAGGTAGGAGGCTGCCCTCCTCCTCCTCCTCCTCCCGAATGTTCAGGGCCAAACCTCAGGATCAGACAGAATGTAGGTTTCCTCAAGTTTAATACTGCATGTTGTCGTTTTCACTGAGTTTGTTGCGACTGAAAGAGCCACGAAAGAGCAACTAGCTCCAGGTCCACACTACACTGAGCATGTGCGTGCCGGTGTAAACGGGAAGCAGAATACCGTCTACTCTGCAGTGATGGTGAAGAACCACAGCAGAGATTTCTCTGCACGGAGCGACAGCGAGGTGGAACTGTTGCTGGGAGGAACATGGGAGGACAAAGAGGCTGTGGCGGCGAGTAAAAACGGAGACGTGCACAGGACAGGACAGAAATGTTATTTACACAGTACAGAATATTTAAATAAAACTTCGCCAGCAGCATCGTGTTTCTGCTTTGCGTGACTGATAAGAGTTAGGGCTGTGGAAAATAATAGGTAATAATAGATTTTTAATCGTGTTGCGGAGGTGCAGCTCTGGACCGTCAGCGCGGTCAACACAACGGAGACGTGTGGTTCTTCCTGTTCGGCACAGACAGACAGCTGCTGGTTGAGTGACTGCTGCTACTAAACTTTACACATGATCAATAAAATCAACGTGTAACTCATGTTAATGATTTTGACCTGCACGCTGTGCAGCAGGGGACGCTCAGCGAGGTGACGGGCGGCAGTAGGTGACGGTGGAAGCATTGTTGTTAAATACTTTGCTTTAAAGGAGACCTATTAAACTGCTTTTCCAGTCCTATATTGTAGTTCTGTGACTCCTGTTTGGCAGCTTTGAATGATTGAAAGTTAGACTCTTCATGTAGGCCTTCATTTCAGCCTCTGTCTGAAACAAGCTGTAGATGCTCCTGTCTCTTTAAGGCCCCCCCCTCAAAGCCCACTGTCTTCTGATTGGCCGAGACCTGAAGCATGTTACCAGGCTGTTGTTGTCGCTGGGCGGAACAGGCAGACTGAGCCGTTGCTATGGGAGCACATGCCCATATATGGCACAGCGGCTCCGTCTGGCTCCTGGTGTCGTATTACGGAGCCAGAGCTTCAGAACAGGAGGAAATCTGAGGTTTCTGCTCACAGTCATGTCTTATAAATGCTTTAATCTCATTTTTTGAAGCTTTGGCCATGTTTAACATGAACATCCAACATTGTAAGACTGTAAGCCATAAAATGTGGAAAAGCATAATAGGTCTCCTTTAAAAGTACCAAGTAGTCACACAGTGAGAAAAATACATCTTTATCCTGTTTGTTTTACAGTCGCATCGTAGCCTCATAATCATAATGAGTAAAAATAAATAAATTCCCACCCTTGAGGTGACACGTCGAGATGCGCTAACACGGCGCCCCGGAGTTTAAAACCAGAACGGGGTCAGCAGCGTTTTCAGACTTCACCGCTTCAGTCTGGACGGGAGGAAACGTAGCAGGAGGGAGTAGGAGTGTGGGCGGAGCCTCAGGAGCCGTTCAGGAGCTTTCTGCCGTATCGTCCTGCGATCGTAGACGTTTTGGTTTCAGAGCGCTTTGTTGGTTTACAAGTTTAAATCAAAAGAAGTCCTCAGAGTGCCCAGAGAAATGTGAACGTCCACACTCGGTCTCAGTCAGAAGCTCCTGAACATCTACTGAGAGACGGTTTGAGTGTCAGCGATAATTTCACTGTAAATCATCACATTAGCTGCGCTTAGCATTAGCACGCTAACATTGGTATGTCGCTATTAGCACATTTAACTGTTCAGCATCAGTGTTTTAAGTAACTCACCACACAGCCAGAGATCATCGCTGAACTCTGCGGCTCATTCCTTCTCCAAATACTTCGCCTCACGTGAGGTCCGGCTGGCCAGGTAGCACAGGTGAAAGACCCCAGGAGTCGTCCTGTCTGATGCCTGTCCATGTTAGCGTTCTGCCTGGGCTGCACTGCCCCCTGGTGGTGACACCTGATGAGTGTTTGTGTCGTCTTCTTCTTCAGGTCCAGAACGCCAAACAGATGAACAGCGGGCTGAAACACGTTGTGGAGTCTGGGATTGAAGAGTTCAGGCTGCCGGAGGTACTGATCCAAACACACTGCCGCTCAGCAAAGAATAACGACACACATTCATTTATTTCCTCTCGCACATCAAGTGAAACCTTCAAGACATTTTGTCAACAGAAGCTGGAACGCTTCAGTGCACGAAGTTACAAACCAGCCGAAAGTGTGTAAAAGTGTTCGACCATCATTCTGACAAACAAGTACTTTTGATACTTTGAGTACATTCTGCTGATAGTACTGTTGTACTTTTACTTAAGTGAAATTTAGAATGCAGGACTTTTACTTGCATTCGAATGACGTCCTGTCTGCGCAGCAGAGACGCACTTTTTCACCTTGCCAGTGAATTTAATAATTTATTCCTTCCGGACGTCATCGGGCCGTAGCGACACCGTCACCTTAACGGAGTAAAGTGAACAGTAAAGTTACTAAAACAACATCAGCGCTGCAGTAACACCTTCACCACCTCAAACCTCCAGAGCGTGGCAGCGTTTCACTCTTCACTCAGCCAGAAAGGTCGTGAACTGCAGCGTCTGCAAAGCTGAGCTCTCCTGCAGACACCGGAGATCTGAAGAGGAGGCGCGTAACATCGTGTCTCTGTGGACGATGAAGACTCGTCTCTGTAAGCTAGTTGGCGAGCTAGCTTCACGTTAAAGCCTGTTGCTTCAGTTTCCCTTGGTCGATTCGATGCGTCGCTCATGGCGACGTTCGCAGCTGGAGAACATGTTGCTGCAGAGTGAGCAAGATCAGACAGCACCGACAATTTTATAGTTTCTAAAGAAGAGAGAACAGTTCTCCTGTCTGTGCGTGAGGCGGCGGGTACTCTGCTCTTAAAAACTCTTTTGTTTTGTGAGTTGTTGAGTTAGGGCAAAATATATAAAGGTTGTGAAACGCTGTCTACTCAAAAATCTTTATTTTTCACCCCCCTGTAAATTAGGCAAATGTAATGCATGACGTTATTCCTTTATAGTGTCAGTTTGTCCCGCCGTGTTGCAGCACCGGCGTGTAAACTGCTCCGTCACTAAACAGCAGATCAGCTGATTTCAGTGGAACTTTCTGTTTCTGCAGCAGAAACGTTCATTAAAAGATGTGTTTTTGAAAGCAGTGTTTCGTGACACGCCAAAACCAACCTCAGGTTTAATTTAAAAGCTGACAGCTAAATGAGACGTATTGTGTAATTTTGCGATTCATAATGCGAATAGTCGATTATTCGTTTAAAAAAATAAAAAGTAGTGGTTAGTTGCAGCCCTAATCATGATCCAGTTGATCCAAACAACCTCTGGAGGCGGTCAGGACCTCATTGTGACCACATGGAACAGTAAACGTGTTGTCTGTCCACACACAACAACCGCTCTCAGTCCCTCCCACAAACAAGATCATAGTCTGTTGAGTTAAACTTAAATATAAACCACAGAAAGGAGCTCGCGTCATGAAGACAGGAAGGAAACGGTGCCAGGAGGAACTTTAGTTTCACTTTCACTTTCCGGCTCAGCCGTCAGTCTGTAGTTCAGGAGGGACAACCTGGGCGCAACATATAAAGGTCTCCTTCCCCCTTCTCCTGCTTAATTGATTCACCGATCTGGGGAGCAGGGACGTCGGGGAGAGCACGGCCCAAATACCAAACACAACTCGTATTGTTACAGATAACTGCCTCCCCCCCTAAACAGGAGATAACGGGGTTAACAGAAACAGCTCCTGCCCTCTAAGGGGTCCAGGGCCCCACTTTAGTGTTCGTCTTGTGGACGGGGTGAAAGCGCTTCGGTGGCCGGCCAGAAGACCGTGATCAACGTAGATTACGCATAGTTTGTAAATTCTTGTTGACTCGATAACAAACCGCCATTTCAGAGTCGGATCTGTTCGCGTATTAATATAACATGCACGACCTTCTGTTGTTCAGGTCAGCTGCTGGCCACAAAGCTAAAGGAAGAATAGAGAACGAGGGAGGGAGGCGTTCTTTCCACTTCCTGCCATCAGGCCTGACTGAGCTGTGGTCTTCCCTTGTACACTGTGTGCGCTCGGCTGGACAGAGCGGCGTTCAGCTTCGTTTACTGAATACTTCAAAAGTTTCTTCAAAAGTCGAGACGCTTGCTTGATTTTTTTTTTTATGTGACAGACAGTGGTGTTAAAAAACTTTACAAGCTGCGTGAAAATCTGTTATGAAGATGCGATTAGCTAAAGCGTCGGGAGGGAGCTGCTTTGTTTGTTATTAGTTTTAAACAGCCTGTAGGATCCAGCATGCTCTGGTCTGAGAGGCTGCAGTGACTCCTCAGCTTCATTATGGTTCCAGTGAAGTGGATTCGTTTCTAAAACGCGCTGCTGAACAGGTTTCTGTCTCTTTTAAGGACGGGGTGGTTGAAAGTAATTGTAACTTAACGAGTAAGGTGACTGTTTACTTTTAATACTCAGTAATAAATAAATATTACTCATTTGAAAAGTATTAATAAGTAAAGAGTAAGTAATTTGCCCCACACTAGATGTGTCGCGAGGACAGAGCGCCTGTTTATATCCTTAACAATGGTTTTCAAACTTTTTCACATCAAGGACCCATAAACTGAGAGAAATTAGATTTTAGGATTTTGGCTTTCTGATGTTTTCTTACAGATTAAGTGTGTGAAACCCACGACCAATACTCAGTCTTCTTCTTCCTGTTGTTAACTCCCTGCAGAGTAACCAGAAGGTGAACGCCCGCTGGACCACAGACGAGCAGCTGCTGGCCGTTCAAGGTGAGCTTCCACCCCGGGTTGAGTCCAGGTAACGGGTCTGGAAGGTGCACTGAACTCCTGCCAACCACACACACGATGAAGAGCTGCAGTTTGAGCAGCGTGACGTGTTTCTGAGGGCGTTGTTGCAGCGCCGCAGGGATTTGCATCACATCAATTTGAATCATCAAAACTATTTGAATGTTTTACAGGAAGAGAAAAGAGGGATATTGATATAAAACATTTAGAAAAGGGATGCGTTTCATGGATTTTTGGCCTTTACTAAAAGACAACTGACCATCGGACAGGATAGAATTAGTCTCTAAAGCTGCGATAATCCATATTTTTATGATGAGGGTGGATCAGATGATGACAGGGTCACCGTCTCTCAGCCCAGCGAGCTTTTAATCATCCGTTAGCTCCTCGATTTGGTTTCACAGCACATTTCCTCTCAGCTGGTTTCTGAGAAAGCCGCCGTACACAGCAGACAGACTCAGAGAGCAGCTGGCGAACGTGGTGGAGCGTTTAGCAGCTAGAGACCAAACACAGAGCCAACTTCCCTCAGTCCTCAACTTCTCTCCCCAGAAACACCAAGAGATAAAATATTTGGCTCCTTCTGCAGTTTTTGGGTGTCCGTTTAAGAAGAATTGACCACATGCGTTTAAACCGTCTGTGACCTTCAGGTGTCAGGAAGTACGGGAAAGACTTCCAGGCCATCGCTGACGTCATCGGGAACAAGACGGTGGGCCAGGTGAAGAACTTCTTCGTGAACTACCGGCGGCGGTTCAACCTGGACGAGGTGCTGCAGGAGTGGGAGGCGGAGCAGGGGACGCAAGCTCCCAACGGAGACAGCGCCACCTCTGGAGAGGAGGGGAAGAACAGCTCGGCCACTCCGTCGGGGAAGAGCACAGACGAGGAGGACGAAGAGGTGAGACGTTTGAGAGAGACAGATGTTCATTTCTTTTTTGAAATCAGAGATGTTAAACATGCTGCAAGACAACATTTATCCTTCTGCATCAAATCTACGCTTTAGCCTGACGAACACCTCCCCAAAAATTTAACTACACATCGCTCACCACAAGATCTGTGATTGGCCGGTAGCGTCTCATTTCCTCCTGCATTTCTAGCTCGTCCTTCTTCTTCTGCCTCAACCGCTCCAAGACTCGTCCACACCGTCTCCTCTGACGCCTTCTCTCGTTTCTGCGTTATGATAATTTCTCTAAAAGTAACTGCTGTTCAGCATCCATCAGCTCCAACTTTCCGTCATCCTACACCAACGAAGAAGAAGAAGAAACTTAACACAGTGGATCATAGAAACCCCAACTCGCATCTTCGCACCGCAGACACTAACGCACAAGTATACCAAGTTACAGGGAACCCGCGGGGTCTTAAAAGTATTAAAAAAGTATTAAATTTCATTACCAAGGTCTTTTCATGTCCTTTCTTAGGATTTAATTAATGCCATAACGTCAAAAATGAAAACTTTGTGTGTGAGACTTCATAATTTACTCCGTTTGGTGTGACTCTGATGTTATACGGCAGTACAGGTCACTGTTTACGTCAGTGTTCAGCTTTACGCTCTGGACTGTGACGTGTTCGCGGTGCACGAGCTCTGCCATCCAGCCCTGCGCGAATCAGTCAGTTGTTAGAAAAGGAAAGAAAACGTCTCTGACGGGCCGCTAACGTTAGCTCGACGAGTCAGAATGGGCAAGTGTCTGAAATTCAGAAAGACAGCGGTACAAACAAGTTGGCGGGCGAGGCTGAGGGCGGTGGCGCAACAAGAAGGTCGGCGTGCGAGCCGGTCACAGTGTGGCGAGCGCTGATGGAACAGCGGAGCTGGAAGAGCCGCTGCAGGTTACTGGTCAGTGAATCTTACGGAGAGACGGGTGTGTACGAGACGAGGACGAGGACGCCGCTGTTGTAGGCTAACGTCAAACTAACGCACATTAAACTTACATCACCCAGATGCGCCGATCACGGGAATGAGGGAAAAACAAACCGGGGCCCGACTCCTTATCCTCGCCGCTTTCAATCCAAAACTACATAATACTGTATTTCAAGCAGCCTTTAGATGCTTTAGAAAAACAGAACAGGATGAATAATCACTGAAGCAACTGGCAGATTATTTTACATTATCTAACCAAGGTTTAACTAACTAACAACTCATACTGCACAATTTGTTTGTATTTTTGATTTCACCCCTTAAGAGTTCTTCGTGCACAAATATTGTATTATTTCATAGGTGTCATTTACGGTGTGGACACTGGGGACACGTCTCCATCACTTTGTTTAAAGCATTTGTTAAATATGTTCTGAAAAATGAGTTGCAATAAGAAATGTTAAAAAAAACCAAATTAAAATACTTTGAGAAAGGTTTATTTGCACAATAAGAAAATATGCAATGCAATTTAAAGATAAAAGAAATAAACGTGAAGCTAAAAAAATCTAAATCACTTTATTTAAATAAAGACAATTCAACCATAAATTGGTGCAGGAAATGTCTCCAGAATGCAGGAAATTAAGTGTTTAGTGCTCAATTTTTTTTAGAGGACCCCCACTTATATATTTCAGCATTGAATATTTCATCAAATAGTGTTAAAATATCTTCTTGTCTTGTTCTCGTGAACCCAATATTGTGAATTGTGCATGTGAGCTAAGTGTATCGTCACACCTCTAATCTGAACCCTTGTGTCTCTTTTCAGCACAAAGTGACGTCCTTGATTCATTTTATCTTATCAAAGTACAAACACACCCCACAAAGCTTTAGTATGTTAAATATGAATGTATTATAATAAAATGTTTTATTAATGTAACTTGGTAAATAATTTTCTCAGGCTTAAATTAATACAGATTTTCCATTAAACGGCAGTGAAGTTGGTAATTAAATTTAATCCTAGGTGGTCTTAAAAAGTCTTGAATTTAACTTTGAGAATCCTGAGGGTACCCTGTGTTTACTACGGCGTGTAGCCCACGCCGTCGACTGCAGCGCACACTTGATGCACAAGCATAAACTGGCCTATATTTTTAAAGAGGTCATATTCTGCTTTTTGCCTTTTCCCCTCTCCTTTATTGAGTTATAAACCTCTTTTGTGTATGTAACAGGTTTGCAAAGTGAAAAAGCCCAAAGGAAGTTCCCATCTTCCACAGAAAACTCTGCTCTGAACTGAAAACAGCTTGTTTGTAGTCCAGCCGCTTCCCTTTCATGCTTTCAAGCTAAACGCGCCTCATATAACGCTGGCCAAGCGGCGACTCCAACACGCCCTCAGAAACAGCGAGCTGCAGCACACAGCTCTCCTCTCCCTTCCAAACACTAGCTACCCTCCAGGCAGTCAGTGGACAGAAAGTTGTTCCTGTGATGTAGAGACAGAGCTCAGTTAAAACTTTATGGATACAGATTAATAACTCGCCGCTCTGAAACTCTCGCTCCAGTCCGTGTTGCCGAGCCGGTCGGCAACACGTACGGCTGAACCCGAGCTGTTTACCGGCTTCTCGCTGACCCGCCCTACGCTGCTTCTGATTGGCTAGTAGTCCTTAACTAGGAACTGAGCATGTGCAACTCCCAACAAAGATCATTTAGAGACAAGATGTATCACTCCATAGCTAAAACGAAGCCTTCAACACAGGCTGAAAAGAGGAGCTGCAGCAATGTGCAGTAGGACAAAAATATAACCATGTAAACCTGCTCTGGTACAACCTCTAAATAAGATGAGGAACCTGAAAATGAGCAGAATAACACCTCTTTAAACTTATTCTTAAAAACAATGTATAATAAGTATTACAATTAAGAGATGCTAATTATTATTATTGTCAGGAAACAAGTGCAACATATTCCACTCCCTCTCTCTCAGAGACAACTTAAACCACAGCAGTGTGGTTGATTACTGACAACAACTGAGAGCTTAACAAATATAATTAATTACAAAAACAGGACAAACAAAGTCTTTATAAATGTACTGACTGCAGAGACTGCAACAAAAAACCAAAATCTTTCACAGTGATGAAAAACTCTGTAGCTGGTATTTGTTCTGGAAAGAGGGGCAGAGAAAGAGAGCTGAGTGAGTGGCCCCTGAGCTGCTGAAGGGCCCCACTTGATCTGTGCCCAATGCTCTATGCGTCCTGTAGATCAGTGGTCGATTGATCGGAGCGCCCTTTAAAGCCATGCATAATTAAGGGTGACGTCACGCTGGCTATATCCTCTTCCTTTACACAGTCTGTGGGTTCAGTCCATTTTTAGCACCATAAATGTAAATGATAAAGAACATAGCGGTTCTTGCGGTTGACTTATCAATAGCGCAGTATTTGAACATTGTGGTTATCAAAACACCACCAGAGAGCGATGTTCCCTTCTTGTCTAAATAGTTCTGAATCGGTAAAACTCTCCGAGATTCAAATCAAATGAACTCACTAGGCGAGACCCTTGAGACGGTGGACATTTTCTCTGAATGTGAATGACTTGCAGTGAGGTAATTATGGCTCCGCCCTCTCCTCTCTGCAGGGTCAGGTGACCTCTTCAGGCGTGTCTCCTGCCGCCTCCTCTTCTTCTTCAGCTCAGATCCTGGTGACGTCCGGCACCTCCTCCGCCTCCCTCCACCAGCCGCCTCCCCTCCTGCGGCCCTCTCTCCCAGCCACGCCCTCCTTGCACCGCCAGCCCCCGCCCCTCCAACAGCAGGCCCGGTTTCTGCAGCCCCGCCCCACCTTGCAGCAGCCCCCGCCTCTCATCCGCCCCTCAAACACCCTGCCCCCTCGCCTTAACCCACGCCCTCCGGCTCCAATGACCCTCTGCGGTAACCCCGGGGGTTCCGGTCCAAGCTCCGCCCAGCAGCCCCCCGGGCTGGCCGTCCACCAATCGGAGACGGCTTCATCCTCCTCCATCCACTAACGAACGTTTCTGTTGAAGACGCAGAAAAAAGAAAATGTCTGCAAGGCTGCTGCGTTCAGGTCCTGTGGGAAAATCTGAGTGACTTTATTCTTCAAAACGACGACAGCCGTCGCAGCTTCAGGTTACGACACGAAATCCAAACCTGAGTGTTTGTTATTTGGTGCACAGCATTTTAGGGGTTGAAGTTTGTCTTTCCCACAGGACTTAGCGTGCAGTGCACCTGCTGGTGGACACCTGGTTTTAAAATCTGTGTTTTCTAAAAAAGGGTTTGACTCAGAAGTCGTGTCAGTCTTTAGGAATCTGTCACATTATTAACGCAGAACCTTTTCAGCCAACAACCAATCCTCTTCAGACATGTGGCGTCCCTCAGGGTTCAATCCCGGGTCCCTTCTTCTTCTCCATCACATGTATATAAATGCATCAACAGAAACAGCAGCACTTGGAAAACATTTTCAACACCCTTGATTTAGTCGCTCTCAGTAGCAGCCTAAGTGATGCTAAAGGCTGATGTTGAATTATTATCAACTGCTAAATTAATTTCTTACAATAAGAAACGTAACATTTGTATTGATTTCTTTTATCCTCCCGGAGTTCACTACATTTACACTACATGTCTCTGCTGACATGTCGTTAATCGGTCGGTCCAGCTGTAGTTTCTACTCAAACAGGAGGAAATGTTGTTGTTGTTGGGGACAGCGATGGAGCTCTGGTGCTCAGAGGAGGAAGGTTTCATCTGCACAAAATGAAAGTCATACTTCAGTGCTGTGCTACTAAGACAGCATTGTTTATTTAAATGATTATACCAAGTTACAGGGAACCCGCAATGTCGTGGTAACCGATAGTAAATAAGCTTTCTGACAGTCGTGATGTTTCAGTAACAGATGGAGATTAAACTGAAGGCTTCAGTGTTGTGTACAGTAGCGTTAGACATCACCTTGTACAGTTTGGTATCTGTTTGAATAGAGAGCCTAACTTCCGCCCCTTGGGACCTTATTTCAGAAAAACGATGTACGGTAGGCAACAATGAGACACCACTAATGTTTAGATCCCGTTTGAATTGTGTCCCGAATTACACACGATGTTTGTCTGTTTAAAAGATCACTTAGGTCAAGAAAGTTGCAGTTTGTCTTAAAACAGTAAAGTAACATTTAGATTTGCGTGAAACGGTTTAATAAACTACATCTCTCGTCTCTCACAATATAAGTCAGCAACATGTTGGTGCCGTAATGCTAAGCTAACGTTCACGGCTTGCTTATTACTTGCTAGGTAACTTAGCTATGTTCCACGCAGAGATGGATCGCACCTGATGTGTTTAATCCTACGACACCTGGTCCTTTCATCACATCACCTACACATGGTAATGTTAGCTTCAGTAACGTTAGCTTCAGTCACGTTAGCTAGAGTAATGTTAGCTTTAGTGACGTTAGCTTCGGTGAAATTAGCTTCAGTGACGTTAGCTTCAGTCATTGAGAGAAAGTTCTTTTCAGTCTTATATTTCAACAGTTTTATGAGAAACTGCGACTTTCTTCTCTTAAATGATCTTTTAAACAGACAAACATCATGTGTGTAATTCAGGACACATTTCAAACTGGATCTGAACATTAGTCTTCTCACCGTTGACTAACCTACATATTTATTCTGAAATAAGGTCCCATGGCGGTCCCCCAACAGGGGCGGGGCTTAGGCTCTGTGTAAGCAGTTGTCCATCCAATCAGCTGTCAGTAACTAACTCTGTGCTGCTGTCCATTTGGTTTTGTAGTTGATGCTTTTTGAAAACACTAAAGTTTCACCCAGACGTCCTTCAGTGTGTTAACTCCATGTTTTCTGTAGAAATGTGAAAAACGTTCCCCGCTGTTCTTTGAACTGTTCTGTTGTTGGGGTGAATTTTCCCAGAGTTGCTGTTGTTTTGTTCCACATGTTGAAGATTCGTTTTGAAACTAAAAACCTGTGATGTCGGTCTGTCTTTTCATTATTTATTCTTCTTCTTCCTGGTGCTACCAGTCCGGTGTAAAAAATCATTGTGAAAGTGCTCTTAATGCTTTTTGGACAAACATGTATTATTACGGCAGTAAATGTATTGAAATCATAGAGTCCTTTGAGTTTCAGTCGTTAGATGTTGAGGTGAAGCTGCAGAGACCTTCTCATTAAAAAAAAATACATTTGTACCATGTGACCTTCTGTCTTTATTACGCCCACCGGTGCGATCGACAGCCTCTAACGCCTGTCTTCACTACGTCTATAATGTTCAGCGTTTGCTGACATTGTTATAAATTCATTAATTCATTTCTGAATCTTCTTTTTGAATCTGGCTCTTGTAGAATCTCGGTTCTGGTTCCAACTCGATCACCGCAGAGCTCGTCAGCGCTCGGTGACCTTCATCTACTTCCTCCTTGCTCATCTTAATAATAACATATTTTTATAGCGCTTCAAGAGCCCGAGGACGCTTTACCCCATTATTAAAGACTGTTTGTACGTGAGTATTTACATTTTATGCTACTTTGTACTGCAGTATATTTATTTGATGACACTAGTTACTTTGCAGATTTACAATAATACAAAAGAAGATGAATCTAAAGTTATTAAAATGAGCTCCACCTTCAGCGTTAAAGTGATGAACACATGAAGGTGAAATGGTGAGTTAGCAGCAGTCCTAGTTTGGATGCTGGGCTTGCTGTTCCCACAGTTTGTGTTTTAATGTAAAGCACATTAAGTTATCTTTAATGTATCCATATCATTTCTGTATCATATTTTATAAACATATCAGATCATATGTTGTCTATGAAAAGAAGTCACGTGCAAAGTAACTATAATTGTAGAAAAGATTTTCAAAATAAAACCAGGACACTAGTGCACACGCTCTCATTTATGGCTTTAATATTAATAATATATCAATAAGATAACGCAGTGAAAGGGGACACTCTGCACCATCAGTACTTTTACAGTATTTTACTGATTCTGAAATAAGAAGTTGTTACAACAGAAAATCTAAATATAAAGGAGTGTGTGTGGAAGTGAATTAAATACTTATAGTGATTATTAGTACTTCACTCTACTTTTATTTTACTACTTTTACTCGTTCTGAGTACTTTTAACAGCACCGAGTTTATTTCCTTTATTGAAACTCCGCAGGAATAACAACAGGTTGTTAAGTCACTTCCTGCTGTTAGAGTTTCCTCTTCCGCTGCGGCGTCCGCATCGGCCAGACTTAATCAATACAGAATCAGAAGCATCGATCCGGGCTGAGGAGCGGGGGACGCGCTGCGGAGCTGATGGTCTCCGAGCCTGCGGTGAGAAACCCCGCTGACCTCCGTCCGTCTGCGTGTTTGGGGAAAGTGAAAGGAAAAGATCTCGAGCAGAGGACAGCAGTTAGAAAGGGTGTATTTTGCGTGTTCCGGGTACTTTAAAGCATCCAGACGCAGCGCGCGCTGCGCGCAGCGAGGGCGGCTGCGGGGATTCCCCTGCACGCGCGCGCGCGCGCGCACGCACGCACAGCCCGCAGGTACCTCGCTGCTTTCATTGACGTCACTCCGAAGGTGCTGATGGTCATTAGCGATACAGGGTCACATGTAACCGCGCGCGCATCCTCAGCACGTGTAGGAGCCGCTCAGCTAATGGGTAGGTTTACTTTTACTTTTAATACTTCAACCCCCTTCAGCTGAAAATACTTTTACTCCAGCGTGAGGTTTTTAATGGAATGGAGTAGTTTTACATCGAGGTATTTGTACTTTTACTGAGTGAGTGGAGGGGCACGTGCACGTTTTATGATCAGACGTCTAATTTCCACCTGAGCTCTGTGCTCCAATAGAAACGCACTTTGGTGTTGTTGCTTATTAGACTGTGGGACGCTGGGGACGCTGGGGACATGTCCCTGTCGCTTCCATGAAGGCATTTTTTTAAGAAATGTTAAATGAAAATGCTAGAGAAAGGTTTATTTATACAATAAGAAAACATGCAATGCAGTTTAAATATAGAAGAAACAAATGTCCAAAAGAGTAAACTAAAAGACAAGCTGCTGATTACTGTTATATTTTTATATTTTCTATTCTCAACCTGCCACCTTAATTTTGTGCTTAGAAACATTTCCACCATAAATTGGAGCACAAAATGTCTCCAGAATGCAGGAAAATAAATATTTAATGTTCAAAATCTTCTGGGGGAGAAAATAAAAAAAATATCTTTAAGTGGGAAAAAAAATAGGTGCCCCCATTATGTTATTTAGTCCATGGTAGTAACATTTTCCCCTTCAGACCGTTTGACCAACGCAGTTTGGGACTGCATGCTGCACGTGAAACCAAAAGTAAATGAAACACTTTTGATCAGAGATCAAGCTAAACTACTGACTCTTACTCTCTAGCTGCTTCGCTGCTCCTCAGATTTTTCACCATAATGTAATGACATCATCACGAGCGTTTAACACGATGACCCGAATGACAGAAGCTTTGTGCAGCAGGTATAAATCTCCCGCTCTCAGTTTGGGGCAAATGGTTAAAGAGCTTTCACTGGTTAATCGATGGTTAATTCTAGTGAACTAGCCTAAGTTTTTAAAATAGATTCAGAGAATTTGTTTAATTTCACCCTGTGTTAGATCTACGTCAGCCTGGTCGTCTGTAGCTTCACAACGAGTTGAACATTTTAAATAGAATTAAATGTTTTTTGAAGTTCACAAAAGTAAAGTCACTAAATAGAGTCACTCACTGAATAACGTCTCACTGGAAACAAATCTAGAATGTATGTAAAATAAATCATATCGATCATTGATTAAATCACCTGCGTCCTCTGTTCAGTCTGTCCTCCTGCAGACTAATGGCAGCAGCGGATACAAAGCCTGGAGGATCTGAGGAGTCCAGTTTGCGGTCTGAGGAGTCCGTGATGAGGTCCCAGGAGTCGAGGCTGGGGTCCGATGAGTCCAGGCAGAGGTCATCGGGCTCTGTCAGCTCCTGGGAGTCGGAACTGACCACCATCCAGCACTCCCTGAAGTTTGTGTTGACGCTGAAGGAAGAGTTTGTTTGTCCCGTCTGCAGAGGAGTCGTCCTCAACCCTCAGCAGAACTCCTGCGGACACATCTACTGCTTCCACTGCCTGCAAGGACTGCTGTAGGAGCCAGTCCACCTTAATACACACCCACACTCACACAGTCCACCTTAATACACACCCACACTCACACAGTCCACCTTAATACACCCCTAAAACAGACTCACACTGACTCAATCCAACTTAAAAAACTCACAGTCCACCTTAAAAGACACCCACACTAATGCGGGTCCACCTTAAAATACACTCAGACTGAAGCAGTCCACCTTAAAATACACTCAAACTGAAGCAGTCCACCTTAATACACACCCACACAGTCCACCTTATAAACACCCCTTAAACAGACTTACGTTGACTCAGTCCACCTTACAAAACTCAAGCACTATTTACCTTAAAATACACCCACACTCACGCAGTCCACCTTAAAATACACCCACACTCACGCAATCCACCTTAAAGTATACTCAGACTGACGCAGTCTACCTTAAAACACCTCTAAGAGAGACTCACACTGACTCAGTCCACCTCAAAATCTCAGTCCACCCTAAAAGACACTCACACAGTCCACCTTAAAACACACTCAGACTGACGCAGTCTACCTTAAAACACCTCTAAGAGAGACTCACACTGACTCAGTCCACCTCAAAAAACTCTCAGTCCACCCTAAAAGACACTCACACAGTCCACCTTAACACACACTCAGACTGACGCAGTCCTGAACTCACTGGGCTTGTTTGAGCTGACCTCGACAGTAGGCCACGAATGTCAGTATCAGTATAAATTTGTGAGAAACCGCTTCCTGACTGAACGACGATGAAGGAAGTCTCGTCATGTAACTGTGCGGTGACCACCACGGGGTAAACACCCCCAACGAGCGCTCCAGCTGTCAGCAAGTCGTTTCCCATCAGGCATTTCAGTTCTGCAGCACGGGGAGAGAAACAGCGGCGCCTAGCTCTTAAAACTGTGCGCGTCTTTGTCCCACGAGATTTCCACATCTCACACAGTCGAGCTGCTGGAAGTGGGACCGAATCGTTAACCATCAGAGACGGGTCCAGTCCTCCCTCCTGAGGGCCCGGTCCCGTGGTGAGCCATGTGCTGATTAGCTGTCAGCGTCTAACTTTCAAACAAATGCTGTTCTAATAACCTTACATGTGATCAGCAACTATGTTCTAAGGGGGTCTGAGGGAGGTCCAAGGGGTTTGAGGAGGGCGGGGTCCGAGGAGGGGGAGGTCTGAGGAGTCCAAGGGAGATCTAAGAAATCTGAGGATCCAAGGCAGGTCTGAGGGGTCTGAGGGTTCCGAGGAGGCAGGTCTAAGGATGCTGCAGTTGGACCCTTTTGAACCATCAGGTCTTGCACTCGAAATTGCGCAGGTCTGCGTCGGTCCGGCTCATCTCAAACAAGCCCACTGACGCAGCTGGCTGTCTGAAGGCACCTGTAGCGGAGGTCTTTGGCCGAGTCCTGTACTCGGTCCTGGTGGCTGTTTCCAGTCAGACCTCTCTGAGTGAAGTGGCTCAGTCGTGGTTTCGGGGTATGAACCTCAGCCTGCTGTGTGTTTCAGGGAGAGTTCATCACCGTCCAGCCCCGTTTGTCCAGTGGACGGCGTTGAGATCACGCCAGCTGAGGTCAGGACCAAACCTTCTGCTGCACATTCACACTTACACACAAGTATTTCAGTCGGTGGCTGAAAGAAAGAGATGAGCTGACTGTGGCTTCTCACAATACTTGGGTTCAGGAAATCTTAACAGTGGCTGGGGCTCAGGAGGTACAGGGGTCCTCCACTTATCAGAAGGTCGGTCCCATCCTCCTGTCCTTGAGCAAGACACTGAACCCGAAATTGCTTCGATTTCTGTGCCATTGGTGTGTTAATGGGATGAATGTGACGTAGTGTAAACCACCATCACCAAGATGTGTTGTAGCACCGTAGAAGAAGAAAAGAGCTTTACTCGAGTGGCCACGTCTGATCCACCTGTAGTCACAGCAGGTGGAATATTCACCGGCTGTGCTACTCATTGGCTTCGACAGTAAAGGCGGTCCTAAAGGTGTCATTCCTCCTGATTGGACTCCAGCCCACCGCGTTTGGAAAAAGTGTCTAAATATTTAAAAGCACACTAATCAGGAGTTTCCTCCCTGCAGGTTTTCCAGGACAACTGCTGCAAACGGGAAATCTCAAATTTAGAAGTGTACTGCACCAACTCTCCGGCCTGCAGCTCCGTCGTCACGTTACACCATCTGCAGGTAAACTTTAGACATAAAGGTAGACTTAGATTTGTGTGAAAATACACGAGCTGATGTTTAGGGAACTCTGGACCACCGGGTGCTCCTTCCACTACTAGGCACCTTGAACACAGTGAGGAGTAACATTGGTCAGCCGTAACATTATGACCACAGACAGGTGGTTACCGTGGCACCTGCCAGTGGGTGGGATACATCAGGCAGCAGGTGAACGTTGTGTCCTCAGAGTTGATGTGTCTAGGCAGCGTGAGGATTTGAGCCACTTTGACAAGGACCAAACTGACGGCTAGACGACTGGGTCAGAGCATCTCCAAACTGGTCTGCAAGGATCAGTACCTATCAGAAGGGGTCCAAGGAAGGAAACGTGGTGAACCGGCGACAGGGTCATGGGTCAAGCTCACTGATGCACGTGGGGAGTGAAGGCTGGCCAATGTGGTCCGATCCGGCAGAGGCAGTGTGATGCTTTAGGCAATGTTCTGCTGGGAACCCTTGGGTCCTGCCATTCGTGTGGATGTTACTTTGACACGTAGCACCTGCCTGAGCTTTGTTGCAGACCATGGATACCCTTTCCCTGATGGCCTCTTTCAGCAGAGTAATGCCCCCTGCTACGAAGCAAAAATGGTTCAGGAATGGAAACGCAACAAGTTCAAGGTGTTGACTTCAAATTCTTCAGATCTCAATCCAATCCACCATCTGTGGGATGTGCTGGACAAACAAGTCCGATCCATGGAGGTCCCCTCTCACAGATTACAGGACTTCAAGGATCTGCTGCTAACAGCTTGGTGCCAGATACCACAGCACACCTTAGAGTTCTACTGGAGTCCATGCCTCAACGGGTCAGGACTGTTTTAGCAGCAAAAGGGGGACCTACACCATATTAGGCTGGTGGTCATAATGTTGTGGATGACTGGTGTACTTTTGGGGCTCGGCGCACAGAATCTTCTCCAGGCTCATGAAGCTTTTGACAGTTTCTCTTGCATCATTAATCCTCTGCAGGACCACCTGCGGTCGTGTCAGTATGAGCAGCTGCAGTGCTGCAATCCAGGCTGCGAGACGGTGCTACAGAGGAGATACCTGCAGGAACACCTGACCAACACCTGTCCTCACCGCTTGGAGCCCTGCCTCCACTGCCAGCAGCCGCACCGACTCAGCCTCATGCAGGTAAGGTCACGTCCAGACAGGCGGGTTTAATAGTTTGTTGTAGACAAGACATATGGTCCAGTCCTCTGCTGTGTCGAGGCTTTCTCAGGACAGGCTCAGAAAGTTTTAGATTCAACTGGGGTCCGTCCCTTTATGTTCTTCTTAGGCTGAAGAGGAAGTCACACAGCTTTAACCGCTAAAACTGGGTCTGGGTCATTAAGCTTTGTGGTGACTCTGTTCTGCAGGATCATGTGCAGAACTCCTGTCCGGAGACGGAGGTGGACTGTCCCAACAACTGCTCCCAAAAGGTTCCCAGACACAAGGTAAGTCCATTCACATCATCAACATATGGATTGGATAAGAATTTTCAAATCTTAAGTGATAAAAACGTGAATTACCACAGACATAACAACAGAATGAACCAGTGTTTAATATATTCATCTGAAGAGCGCACACACCAGACGGTTCAGTCCAGATACAGGACCGCACACTCTGCCTTTATAGTAAACGGTTTCAGAGTGGCGGTTCCGGGGACTTGGGATCTCACAGAATCTCACGTGATCAAACGTGACTTCAGACAGGAACAAACATTGAGGCAGACCGTCGTCCCGCTCAGCTCGCTCCCATTGTGGGTTTCTGATCGGAGGCTCCCAGATTTCAATTTGAATTCGGGGAGCCTCTGATCCAGTGGGTGACCTTCAGATTCAGTCTGTGAACCCCTCACACTATAGGATCATGTCGGCCAATAATCTGTTCAGACAAGCTTCGCACGCAATTCTCGGGAGGGCGAATTGGACCCAAAATTGGCCCAGTTATCCTCTAGTGTGAGGCCAGCTTTACAAACGTGTTGATGGCATTTTACCTGCTGACATGAAGTGATTTCCATCCATCCATCGTCAACTGCTTATCCTGCGTACAGGAGCTGGAGCCAATCCCAGCTGACCTCGGGCAGGGTACACCCTGGACAGGTCGCCAAGTTGATTTTTTCTGAAACTCCACAGGGAACCGTTAATGTAGTACGTAATGAGCAGCAAATACAAGGTTACTGTTGGTGGGATCATAGGATCAGACTTTGGAAAGTAACTGACCAATCAGAATCAGGTATTCTACTTAGCCATCCAATAAAATGAACACATTTACACATTAAGTATGCGGCTGTTTGAATCCGTGTCTTCTCTTCCAGCTGACGGAGCACAGAGACTCGTGTCCTGAGGTTCACGTCGCCTGTTCTTATCAGAGGTTCGGCTGCTCCGTTCAGGTGCGTTCATCTGCTGTCGATGGCGTTTTACCTGCTGACATGAAGTGTTCGTTACCTGACAGCAGGTGTTGTGTCCTGCAGGATAAGAGAGCGAAAGTGAAGCTGCATGAAGACGCCGCTGTCAATCATCACATGCTGCTGGTCCTGAGGAGCAACACGCACCTGGAACAGCAGGTAGGTCTGAAAACACGCGTGAATACTTGAAGTCTCTGATTGGTTGTCCCCGGCCTTTCTGTGTGGAGTTTGCATGTTCTCCCCGTGTCTGTGTGGGTTCTCTTCAGGGGTTCTGGCTTCGTCCCACCGTCCAAAGACACGCAGGTTAACTGGTTTCTCTAAATTGCTCATAGGTGTGAGTGGTTGTTGGTTTCTGTGTGCCCTGCGATGGACTGGTGACCTCTCCAGGCTGCACCCCGCCTCTCGCCCTATGCCAACCTCATTAGTTACTTGAAATTTATTTACAATACTGCTACCAGGAGAGCCCACACAGCAGTGGAGGCTTAAAGAAACGATCTTTCCAACTTCACTTATACCCAAGGCCACAGATGGAGATGAGTTATTTAGCCTACACAACACGACTCCTTGCAGCATTATCAAGAAACAGACATGTTCTCAATCATATCGGCAGTCTGGAACCACTCTCACAAACATAATCCAGCGTTTCTTGTTCTACCAACAGGTCTCTTTATTTTGCCAAACTGTGAAACTTTTTCTTCACGGTGCGTTGTTAAAATGAGGAAAAGATCCGGTCAGTGCCTAAAGAGAGGACAGTGCTTTACAGGGTTCAATCAGGTTGACAAAAACTATGCCCATCCTTTAGTTACACCTGCGTATTTCATCAGTTTGAATTTAGCATGAAACAAACATTGTAGCTGCCGGCCTGCACGTAGCCCTGAGTGAATCTTTGCTAATATTCATATTTGACTATAAACTAAGTGACAGGAGTGTTTACCTTAGACTGTTGTCTCCTCTGCCAGGTGGAGGTTCTCCAGGAGGAGGCGCAGCTGAGACAGCAGGAGGTCCAGACGGACAGTTTACTGCTCACTGATATGCAGAAGAAGATCAGACCGCTTCTGCAGCAGAACAGCAGCCATGAACACATCATCTCTGCAGCTCAGGTCAATATGTACCTTCATGTCCTCATCATCTAGCTTTATTCATTTAAGAGTTATGTTATTAGCTAGAAAGTGTAGTTTTACCTTAACGGGTCAGTCTGGTTTTGCTGTTGTCAGTCAGTCTTTCCGCACTGCCTGACTTCCTGTCTGTGGCTCTCAGCTCCCCACTGGTTCCTGCTAAAGATGTAATGTTAAATAAATAAAAAACAGCTCACAAATATATAATTTCAAAAGGATCAGTCATTTCCTCAAACAGCTGCTGCTGGAGAACATAGTTGGGGATTCTTTTCAGCTGTGGATGATGAATCCACATGTGGTGCTCTAGTGAGTCTTTGGGGCAGCAGGACAGTGTTTGTGGGACGGAAAATAAACTGTCTGTCTGTGGGCTCAGAGGACTCTGAGCAGGCAGGAGGACGTCCTGTCCACCATCCAGCTGGAGATCCAGCAGGTGTCTCGGGGACTCGGTCCTGGTCTGGAGGAGCTGGAGCAGCTCAGAAGTCTCTGGATGCTGTGATTGAAGAAGTGTCGGCAACCGAGGCCCTCAAAGAACACCTGGGTAACAACACCTGCTTTGAATCAGTAACTCAGTGTTTGTGTCGGGACTTTGCACAACATCCAGTGAATGCTGTTGGTATTTTCAGGAACCCTGGAGGAGAATCTGAAGCATCACTCAGGTCTCCTGGATCTCCATGCCGCTCAGCTCAATCGCAACAAGCAGCACCTGCAGGAGCTCGAGGCAACATCCTATGACGGCAGACTGATCTGGAAGATCGACGACTTCAGGAACAGGAGGGAAGCCGAGACCAAAGGTCAGCCACCTTGCCTGAGCAGCGCGCCATTTTACACCGGACGCTGCGGCTACAAAATGGCCGCCAAGGTCTATCTGAACGGGGACGGGGAGGGAAGAGGGAATCACCTTTCCCTTTATGTTGTCCTGATGCCGGGAGACTTCGACGCTCTGCTGACGTGGCCTTTCAGACAGACCGTATCTCTGTCTGTTCTGGATCAAAGTGGCGCCGGTAACCACCGGAGTCTGAGCTTCAGACCTGACCCGACATCCAAAAGCTTCCAACGACCCGCCGGCGAGTTTGTCAGCAACGTCGCTGTTGGGTTTCCGTGCTTCATTCCCCACAACATGCTAGAGACTCCACGAAACGCTGCGTATGTCAATGACGACACGCTGTTCGTCAAAGTGAAGGTGGACCTGGCAGGTTTGGAGCAGCTGTAAGATTCAGAACTTTACGTTACCGTGTGTAGGATTTGATTTATTTTTGTAATTTGGCACCATCTGGTGGTCATTTCAGGAAGGACACTGTGGTAGGCTATGACCAAAATGTTTAACTTTTTTCTTTAAGCTCTCAGGGATCGTGTGGAGTTCTGACTCCCAGATACCAACTCCAACACACACTGTGGTGACTATTATAATGCTCATTAAAATGATATCATGACTTATCTATCTGAGTGTAACTATTGGTGCTCAGATCAAGTTATTTAAGTCTCAAGTCACTGAGCTAGAGTCCAAGTCAAGTCTAAAGTCACTGAGCTAGAGTCCAAGTCAAGTCACTGAGCTAGAGTCCAAGTCAAGTCACTGAGCTAGAGTCCAAGTCAAGTCTCGTAAATGTCAGGCCTGGTTACGCTATAAACTGCTAATACTTATTTGGCCACAATTATGATTATTCCATTAAAGAAATGGTACAGTTTCACATAGACCTACCTTTGCTTACCAGGAACATAAAGTGATGTATATTTGCACATTATGTCTGTTTGATCCAGATGCAGCTGTAGTCGTAAAGAGACCGGGCAATACAATACAGCTTTAATATATTGCTGTCCGCGGGAGCGCGCACAATCAGTTTTTCCGGCGGACTATCACTTTTCACACACTTGTGTTTGTTGCCCTGAAGTCACTGTGTGTGCAGCTTAAGTCTGACTCGAGTCCTCATCTCTGTCAGGTTATCTGTAGATGTTGAACAGTTTAGTACTGATCAGGATTCATTATCTGAGGATATCAGGCTTCCTATTCTGTCCAAGTCTGTTTTATCATGAAGTTGTTACTGCCAGCCTGGAGACAAAGGAGAACCAGAAGAAGTTGTCCACAAATCTCATGTTATTGAGAAAGGAAATTTGCTTTGCTCCAAAAAACTGAATTCGTTACTCGTATGACAGGAGAAGAGTTGTTTGTCCACAGGCTCCGAAATACAAGTTATTTCTTCATGTTAATGCTACTGTTGCATTGTGCTCTACTACTGTAGACAGGTTGTACGGTTTTATTTTTCTGGGTGTTTTCATTCTGCAGTATGTGATGTCTACACAGACAACCGTCCGTTCAAGCCACAGTTCTTCTAGAAGTCAATAAAACGCCAAAACTGACTGCTCAATGGACAGAAGTAAATTTATTGGGCTGAACAGAAGAAGTTACAGTAATCCTGGTTTCTGATTGCCATCAGGTTCAAGTTAGTTTGTGATAACCACTCAGGTTTGAAGCAAAAAGATCACACACTTCAGGTCACCTCCATCATGCTTTGTGTCTGTTTACAAGAGTTTTTCATTTTGTTGTTGCTACAAAAACGAGAGATGCTCTTTATCGGCCCTGATGTCAACCTGCTATGTTGATCAGGTATGGAGCGAGGAAGTGGGATTGTTGTGTACCTAAAGACGAGAACAAGCTTCTCAATCTTTCTGTGAAAGAGATGACTCAGGGTTTTATTGAGCATGAAGAAATAAAGGATTATTTTATTAAATAAAGGCGATTCATTCTTTTTCACTCAACGTCTGACTTCACACTGCAGAAGCAGCATTCTTATCTTTTATCCTGTTGTGTCCTAAATTTGTGATCACACCCTCTGACTATCTAATTACACTAATGAAATGTTTCAAATATTGTCCATTCATGAAATAGTTCATTTTAAATACAACCATTTTTAAGACTAATATGTCACTAAGGTCAAACAGCTTTAGATTTCTTTCAGCTGTAAAGGAGCTGTAGTGTCGGTGTGTGGACGTCCTCTAAAGCTTTGGTCCGACTGTTAAATGCCAAGATAATTTACAGTTAACTTTCTTCACAGAGTAAAGCTTCTGTTTAACATCGAGCTCAAGCGCTGACACTGGAAAACAGAGGATTTGGAGCCAAACGAGGAACACCTACAGGGCAATCTACAGGGCACAGTAGATGCAGGTTGCAACTTTTAATACCTTAAAGGGTGAACTTACAATGAATGAGGCAGGAAGTCCAAAACAAAGCACAAACAAATCCAGAACAGCATAGCATATGCAATCCATCCACAAGGACGAACAAAATAAAGTAATAAAAGTAATTTGACAAATACGAGGAAGCAAAAGATCTGTCTGGAATACTAGAACGCTGACGAAATGCAACGACAACTAACAATGATAAAACACTGACTTAAATACACAAAGAGGGAGGTGATTAATGAAACACGCGTGGAATTAGGGTGGGCAAACAATCAACCAAGGAACATAAAGACAGGAATCAAAGCTACGCAGGACACACAAGGAAGGATAGTTTCAAAATAAAACAGGAAATCACAAAACTCCAAAGCCCTAAAAGTCCAGTTGTCAAGGGACCAAACAGGTCAGGTGTGAAAGTTTGGTCAAGAGTTGATTGACAGGCTTTCGTGTTAGAAGGAATTGTCAGGGTCACAGGTGAATTCAGGAAACAAAGGGGAGCAGACAAGAGACAACCAGGTATTTGGCCCCAAACGCAGAACACTCGGGCAGAGCAGGTTCAGTTCAAGGATTTATTGAACAAATCAACATGAACAAAGATTTACAACCTGGTGATGAGGTAGCCAAAAAAAAACACAACAGGTGAGCAGTCCAACAAAGAAACAACTTCAAAAAAAGGTACAACCAAGACTCCAGAGTCCGGCAGAGTCAGGATCCAAGGGATACACAGACAATCTAACACTGGGAAAATGGCTGGACACAAGTCCAAAGACATCAACAAACTGGGAAAGAGTGAGGGAACTAGACAAACTAAAAACCCAAGAGGACGCTGTAACGAGACACAGGTGAAATTAATCAGGAAGGAGCAACCAATTAAACCAGCGGGAAAACACAAGAGCAGGAAGTGAAGTGAAAGGAGAGGAGAGGCAGGTAGCAAAGACTTGCCAAAAGAGAACAGCAAGTACCAACACTAAACCCAAAACCATAACAATCGATGGTAAAGGGCAGTAAATATACTGTAACTGCAGGGCTGGTGAGGGAAAGTGGAAACAGGTGAGCAGGTGGAAGTGAAAGTCTGAGGTCATCTGGTGGAAGGATGGAGAATGTTGCTGGAAGGAACAGGTGTCGGTGTCACCGTCAGGGTCTGCAGACTGTAATCTTTGTCCTTCTGTAGATCCGACAGCAGCTGCAGAGCCGAGTCTCCTGGATGAGACTTGCTCAGCTCCAGCTCTCTGAGGTGCGAAGGGTTCAACCTCAGAGCCGAGGCAAGACACTCGCAGCTGCTCGCTGTGCACTCCGACAACCTGACAGAGAACAACTGTTTTAATAGTCACATTAACAACTTTAATTTTGGCTGTCAGGTGTCTCAAAGTCGTACACGTGGACACCTCAAAGATAGTTAAGGTCTGTTGTGCTTTTCCTTTACTGTTCGGTCTCCTGTGGTGAACCCCAAGGTTCCATCTTAGCACCATTTTATTTTTAATACACTGTACATGCTTCCACTGCTGTCTGCTTTTGGAAAATACATCCTTTTTCGTTTATATGCAGATGACATACAAGCTATACTCACACATGACTTTTCTCCAGCTTAATGAGAGAAAGTCCTTATTATCCTCATTTTTCTGGGGCCTTTGTCTCCAAGTTTCTGAAATGTGGGTGCAATTTTCTGAATCAGCATTACAATTTGACAAACTAATAAATTCTGTCATCAGCAGTAGCATTTCCCACATCAGGCTGATGGTCATAGGCTTTTTTTATTTCAGAGTCCATCGGTCTTCTCTAACTCGCCCACAGCTGCTTCATAACTCCGCAGCAGGACTCCACTGGTACCAAGATGAGAGACCATATCTCCCTGGTACTGGCCTCCCTTCACTGGTTACCAGTAAAATATAGAGTTGTTGTTAATATTCTTGAGTTTGTTTTCAAATCTCTGCATGGATTGGCATCATCTCCTCAGTCCAGATTCCCTGATCAGTTCCTCCTCCTGATCAAAAGCCAAAGGTGACCGAACTTTTTCCATTGCTGCTCCAAGACTGTGGAACAGTTTATTCTAACTATCAGATCCTCCACATCGAACGCCACTTTTAAATCCCGGTTTGAGGCCCACTTGTAACATTTGATGCCAAAATCCCCTTAATTATTAATACAACAAAGATGTCTGTTACAGTTATTTCCATTTGTTTCCCTTCTCTAAAGCACTTTGGCCAATACCTGTTGTTTTTTATAAATGTGCTCCGTAAAAAAGTTGGACACTGTGGGGAGTATAAAGCCAGATACTTGCGTCTAGCGTTACAGAGGTGATATCAACAGGTGAAATCCAATGCACAACTGTAAATCAAAACTTCTGTCAACCCCTTATGTTGATCATAAATCCAGCTTTAGCTTTCAGTGGTCCCATTAAAGATAATCCATAATACCATTTTTTTATGCATGGCTTTATATGACCTATTGGCTTCTCCTTTCATTGTATTGTACAGTACATGTCGTACTTAGAAGTTTCGTTTGGTGACCAGAATTACAGAAAAGACTCACCTCAGTATCTGCAGTCCACACTGGGGTTTCCGCAGCCAATCAGAGAGCAGCTTCACACCCTGGTCCTTCAGCGAGTTGTAGCTCAGGTCGAGCTCTTTGAGAGCAAAGGAGCAGCTGAGGGCGAAGGTAAAAGACCGGCAGCAGGCTTCTGTTAACGTGCAGCATTTCAGGCTTAAAGGAGACAAATAAAAAAAGTTTTCAGATCATAGTTTTTGTTTCTGAAAGATTCTTTAACAAGGGAGGAGTTCAACCAAATGGAGCCCTGACTGAGGCAACGACAGATTTCTTATGTTTTTTTTAAACTAATTGGATAAATGTTTGAGTTTTATCTCTAAATTCACACTGTTGTCGATGTTTTTTGTGGTTTGGTCTGTCTGAACATTTTGTCCAGAGTATCACACCAACACCCGGCCAGGTTATAAACCATGTTTGTGTCCTGCAGATTGTGGTGGTTGAATACCTGAAAACCATCTCTGCACACCTGAATGTGTGTGAAAGTGTGATGAAGGCCACAAAACTCACTTTAGTGTCTCCAGTCGACAAAGTGGCTCTGCCAAGAACTCAGAAAGGTGTTCGACACCAGCGTCTTGAAGTTTATTTCTCGCCAGATCCAGAACTCTCAGGTGGGCGGGGTTTGACTTCAGACTGGAAGCCAGCGCAGCACAGCTGCTCTCTGTGAACCGACAGCCCGCCAGTCTGTTGGAGAAAACAGTTCTAACTTACAGGCGGTAACATGCAGTGGCAGCTCCAGACCCTGACCTCTGACCTCTGACCCAGTGGCTCAGTTTTTCATGTGGGATGGACGACTTAACACTGATGTCATTCAAATCAGGACATATTTGTCAACCTGCCAGCTGCTCTGACCCCCTGTATATGGAAATACCACGGACGTGCTCCATAAATGACAGACACTCGCTTCTAAAGCATGACAGAAAAAATGAAGTTTCAGCCATCTGGATGATTTAAAGTGTAGCAAGTCATCTTTTCTGATCTGACCAATCAACAGTGAAGTGAGTGCTGAAGTGTCTTGAGCTGCAGTTCCCGTGTGCTGTGTTTTGAAGAGAATCAAACTGTGGATGAACTCGAGGCTGAGAAGAGGGGAATCAGCAGGTTTATGCATTTTAAAGAGCAGATACGCAACACGCAGGGGACGCTTCCCGCTCAGCTCGCTCTCATTGGCTGCTGCAGGGTTTCTGATCAGAGGCTCCCCCATTCTAAACCAGTTTGAATTTGGGGAGCCTCTGATCCAGTCTATATTAAATAATGACTTCAAGAATTGAAAACAAATCAAATTGCAGGATTCCCTGGCTTCATCACCACCTAGCTGGCAAAGCCCCAGACCTCTGCACCTATTCTTGCAACATGAGAGTCTTCATGGCAGAGGCCCCACATCATTCCTTCAGGCTGCGCCCAAACAGGACTGATGCCTTGGCCAAAGCTGTAGGCTCGCTGTACTCAGGCCTGGCTGGTTGTTTGATTGTTACCTGAGGTCTAGGACCTTACTATTAAGATTCTTTGAAGTATGAGGACCGTCTCACCTCAGTGTTTCCACTCTGCAGTTTGGATCCTTCAGCAGAGCAGCTATCTCCATCACTCCAGCGTCCTCCAGGATGTTCCCTCCCAGATCCAACTCCCTCAGCTGGGCGGGTTTGGAAGCCAGAGCTGAGGCCAGAGCTGCAGCACACGCCTTTGTTAAGTCTGTCCTATAAAGCCTTTACAAAAATAGTAAATGTTTTTTATTCTTTTCAGTTGCCACATGGATCCTCTCTGTGACTTTTAGGTGATCGAGTTAAAAACCTGGTGCATGTTTTGCAGCCGTCTGCATTATTGGCGTCTACCTGGCTGACAGTTCCCCTGCCTGGAGTGGCAGCTGCTGTTTTGCCTCAGTTTAGTTTAGTTAGTAGGATTTTAATCATTGTTAATCATTAGTAGTACAAATTGGCTGCAGTGCCTCCAGGCGGCACTCCCTGTTGGTTTGCTGGTATTTTAAAAATATAGCCAACTGGTCTATTGTTTTGATTTCTTTCATTTGTTTTTCATTTTTTAACCATCCTCTTTCCAGGCACTTCCAGTTATCAATGATCTAACTATTAATTAACTATTACTTACTTCGGTCAGTGAACTAGCCTTTGCTAAACTGGGGTTTTAGTCAAAGTACAAATAAAACATTTCCTGGGGTGGAAGTCCCCACAAGGCGTTGACTGACGGATTCTGGTGGTGATTCCTCCTCGACCGCCACCACCCCTTGCCACAAAAGTAAATGTTTAAATAAGCTTAGAGCAATTTGAAGTACACAGAAAGAGAAAACTGATTCATAAGGTGTCACTCTCTGCGTCCATTTCAGAGATAATGGTCAGAGCTGGGAATGATGTCGCACCCGAGTTGACGGCGTTCCATTTAACAAGTTGGGCAGTGCGGTTCTCCCGACTTTCCAAGTTGGAAGTCCGACTTAAGGGGGCGTTCCCGACTTTGAACTCATAAATTCCGTCTTCCCATGTCAAATGGAACGCACCATAAGGCCAGGTTTAGCCTAGCTTAGCACAAAGACTAGAAGCTAGGGGAATCTGCTAGCCTAGCTCCATCGAAAATAAGAAATTACTTGATTACTTGTTGTCCATCTGTAGTCGTCTGGGTTTAGGTCACAGTGGAGAGTTAATAGTGGTAGGTTTTCCTTTAAAGCCCTAATGATTTGAACACCGAGTCTTACCTTCCCCACAGCTTACCATAATCTCTCCAGCTGGCAGTCAGGATGCTTCAGAAAGCCACAGAGCTGAGAGACTGTCTGAGCTCCAAGACTGTTCCTGCACAGGTCCAGGTTTTTCAGGTGGGATGGGTTCAAGCTGAGAGCTGAAGCCAGAGGTTTCCCTGTGATGCCGCACTTACACAACCTGCAGACAGAAGAGACACCTGACTCAGCTGCTGGTAAGGTGGCCATGATCAGGGCAAAAGTTCCTCTTTACACAATAACCTTATGGACAGGTTGCTGGGACACACGCCGATCCCTTCCCTGCTCTCCAGAGCACGAACCCTTTAGAGTTCAACAGGACCCCGTGTCTTTTCCCAACCCGAGCTCACTCCCAAGTTGTCACATATGGACGCATGGTCAAGACCAGATGGTGTCAGTTTGTAACACACAGGGGAGCCCGTTTGCGTCATTGCTCAGTGCTCTGGGCGAAGTGTCACTTTTTAATGCTAAAGGTGGGTATTGGATATTTAACAGAAAAGACTTAGTAAGGAGGTGGCTGGGGCGGATGAAGGGCCAGAAACCGGACATTCAGTCAGGAGACTGGTGTTCGTTTCCCATGTGAAACAAAAACATTGAATTTCTTTTATACATTAGGTTACATCAGTTGCATAAGTTACACACGTAACGTTACTTAAAGTGCGTAAGTTAACTGACGTACGTAACTTAATTATTTAAACCCAAAGATCAATGATCTTTTCCTAAACCTAACAAACTACTTTTGGTGCCTAAACCTGATTAAATTGCCTTGCCGTTGCAAAATTGCGATGTTTCGCAACATTGTTTTGAGCCCAAAACCACACTGAAGGGGTACCAAGGGCGTCAAAAAGGGGTCTTGACCAAGCGTCCATATGTGAGGAGTTGGGAGGCTCTACTGGTAAGACTCAAAGAATAAAAAAAATCACATTGATGTTAAAAGGTTACCTGAGGGTTTCCAAAGAGCATTTGTTGAGAACTTCTGAGAGTAGCTCCAGTCCTTCATCATGAAATCTGTTCTCGCTGAGATCCAGCTCCCTCAGGTGGGACGGGTTTGAAGCCAGACCACTGGCCAAAGATTGGCATCCCTTTTTTGTAATGCCACATTCTTTCAGACTTCACACAAAGAGAAACAAAAAGAGTTTGTTATGGGTTACACCAGAAAATAAGTTTGTCAGCCTGATGGTCTCGTCAGGCCAGAATCTAAATTGCTGATTTAGATCTTTATGGAATCTGGAGATCATTTATTTCTCTAACGTAGGAGAAAATATAATGTTATGGAACAGCCAAATATGTCCAGTCTTTCCTTCCAAATGCAGTTCAAATGTTGAATTCATGGTTAACTTCTTTTAGCCTGTGTTTTAGGGATTTAATGATTTCTTGTTTATTCCTGCTGCTGTGAAGCAAGGACAAGTTTCTACACTGTGGACAAAACATTTCTTTGGATAATTATGTTAAATCCTGTTGCAGTAAAACTAAAAGATGTGCAGGGAAACAGCCTCATAAATCGTCTTATCTTTTTCCCAGTACAGTTAAGTTGTGAATGAATGGAGGCAGCCACGAATCAGCTGGTCTTTCTGTGTTGTTGAAATACTGATGTTATTTGAATATTAATCATTAGTTGGTGTTTTATTGATTATGATTATTAATCTTGTTGGATAATCATCTTTCATACGTAATGGTCATATTTAATGCTCAGACAAAGTGTGACCAGAGTGCAGCCTTTGTCTTTCAGTCACACGCCCGGCCAGTCAAGCACTTTTGCTAATTGGCCGAAGGGGAAGTTAGGGGGACGACCAGGATCCAAAATAAATCAGACATCCAAACGAGAGACAATGAGGCCTTGTTGGACTCTCACATAAAGTTGATAGCACCTGGGTCCAGGCTCGATAAGAGTAACCTAAGATTTATAAACATAGGAGGCCCGGGTAAGGAGGGCGGCGAGGTGGTTAGCACTGTCGCCTCACAGCAAGAAGGTCGTTGGTCGTTCTGGGCCTTTGTGTGTGGAGTTTGCATGTTCTCCCTGTGTCTGCGTGGGTTCTCTCTGGGTGCTCTGGCTTCCTCCCACCGTCCAAAGTGTGACTGGTTGTTTGTCTATGTGTGGACTGGCGACCTGTACAGGGTGGACCCCGCCTTGCGCCCGATGTCAGCTGGGATTGGCTCCAGCCCCCCGCGACCCTGTACGCAGGATAAGCGGTTGATGATGGATGGCCCGGGTAAGGAGGGCCTGATAAGTGTAGGAGACTAGATTTGTGAATATAGAGGCACCCTTGTGAGAAAGCTGCAGCTCTGAAGGTCACCATGTGATCCAGCACACGAACTTGTGCTTGTGTTGATGTTACCTCTCTTTTGTCTTATGCACACACACTTTCTATTAATATCAAGATGATGTCTTATTTCTGATTTCAGTCTTATTTCTTTAGCGGTGTTGTAGGGTAGAACACACTATTGTTTAAATATGTAATATGTGTGGATGTGGAGGAGCGAGACGGGACAAAAACAAATGTAATGCAGAGTTTGAGGAGTCTGCTCCCGGGAGCGGCTCGGATACTAAACTCGAGCTCATTTTAGATGCGTATCAGAGTTGATCTGCTTCTATATTAAACGACTGAAAACGCACATCGAGTGGCCGTTCACGTACACTGAGCATGTGCGTGCCGGTGTAAACAGGAGGCTGATGGTCTACTATGCAGCTGCAGGAGATTTGGAGAAAGAATAAAGTTCTACAGACGAAGAACCACAGCAGAAATTTCTTTGCATGGACCGACAACAAGGTGGAACTGTTACTGAATGTAACACAGGAGCACAAAGACTGTGGTGGCAGCTAGGGTTTGGCTCTAGCCCCCCGCGACCCTGCACAGATAAGCGGTTACAGATAATGGATAGTTTGAACTTGATGAGATGTCATTCATAACAGAAATGAACACACCGATGGAACAGCCAGGGTTCAGAAACTTGACCCAGACTGGAGGAGCCTGGGGATCAAACCTCCGATCTTCCGATTAACAGGCAAACCGCTCTACCCCCTGTGCCACAGTGTCCCACAGTCAAACACACTCATACTGTACATCTGGATGCTCCTACCGGAGTCTCTGGAGTTTGCAGGCGGGACTTTTTAGACCCTCAGAGAGCAGAGCTATTCCAGAGTCCTGCAGTTTATTTCGGCTCAGGTCTAAGTCCTCCAGACCCGACAACTCCAAGCTGAGAACTGATGAAATATACCTGCAACATCTGTCAGTGAGGCTGCAGTCGCTCAGCCTGAAGTGAAAAACAAAGTGACCGTTAACATTGTGGTCTGACGCAGCCTGAGAGCTTCGGAGCAGTCGGGTTTCTCGAGGCCAAATACTTACAAAGCCGTCTTAGATGCTTTGAGCACGGGCAGCAGCCTCTCCAGAACCTCATCTGATCCAGAGTATTTCTTCAGGTCAAAGACGTCCAGCGCTTCATTGGAAACAAGCAGCACAAATGCCAGAGCTGACCAATGTGCAGGAGAGATTTTACTAACATCTCTAGAGCTCTGGTACTTCTGGACTTGATCCACCAGGGACCGGTCACCCAACTCATTTAAACAGTGGAACAGATTGATGCTCGTGTCGGTGTAAGACAGTTTCTTGATCTTCTCGTGAATGTAGGCGATTGTCTCGTGGCTGCTCAGCGGACGTCTTCCTTTAAATCTAAATGCTTTCTGAAGAAGCTCCTGGTTTGTGTCCTTTGACAGGCCGAGCAGGAAGCGCAGGAACAAGTCCCACTGTCCATAACTGCTGACCAAAGCCATATCCGTGGCGTTCTTGTGGAGGAGGATGAGAGGAAGTTCTCCTCTCTCCGATGCCACTTTCACACTTGTCTGGCTGGGAAGCAGATTTTCTCCGCGATCTATGAAGGTCTCCAAAACATACAGAGCGGCGAGGAACTCCTGGACACTTAAATGTATGAACGAGTAAACCTCCTGTTTGTGAAGACCATATTCTTTTCTTATGATCTCTGTACAAACTCCAGAATAAACTGCAGCTTGTTCCAGACTAATTTCACAACTCTTCAAGTCATTCTCACAGAAGATTATGTTGCCCTCCCGTAGCTGTTCAAATGCCAGCTTTCCCAGCTTCATGATGACACCTTTGTCCGTTTTACCATCCTGATAATCTTTGAGCTTCGTCTGGATGATCAGGAAGTGTGTGTACATTTCACTCACAGTCTTGGGCAGCTCACCTCGCCGGTTTTCTGTCAGGAGACTCTGGAGAGCCGTGGCTGAAATCCAGCAGAACACAGGGATGTGGCACATGATGTACAGACTTCTCAACGGCTTTGAATGAAGATGATCTAATATCTTCTGAGCCACGTCCTTGTCGCTGACTTTCTTCCGGAAGTACTCGTCCTTCTGCTCGTCGTTAAAGCCTCGTACCTCCGTCACCCTGTTGATGTACTCGGAGGGAATCCTGGTGGCGGCGGCGGGTCTGCTTGTGATCCAGACCGAGGCTTTGTGCAGCAGTTTCCCTGTGATTAAGTTGGTCAGGAGGACGTCTACTCTTGTGGCCTTTGTGAGACTGCGGCACATCTCGTTTTTCTCAAAGTCCAGAGGGAATTTGCTTTCGTCCAGCCCGTCAAAGATGAACAAAACACTTGAATTGTTGTAGTCTGATGTTTCCAAATCCTTCACTTCTTCAAAATAGTAATTTATTAACGTTACAAGACTGTGAGAGTTATCTTTTATTAAATTTAAGTCTCTGAATGTGAAAGGAAATATGAACAGAGTAGTTTGGTTGGCTTCTCCTGCGGCCCAGTCATAAATGAATTTCTGCACAGCCACAGTTTTTCCAATGCCGGCGATTCCCTTCGTCAGAACTCTCTGTGGAGGACTCTCTTCGTTTGATAACGGTTTAAAAATGTCATTGAGGTGGATTTTCCTCTCCTCACTCGTACACCTTTTACATTCTAACTCGATCACTTCGTGTTCACTGTTTACCTCCCCACTGCCTCCTTCTGTGATGTAAAGCTCGGTGTAGATCTTGTTTAAAGGAGTCGATGACCCATCGTCCTTTGTGACTTGAGACAGATTTTTTGTTATGTTTTGAAGATAAGATTTTAGCTCAGCTTGGCACCGTTGGATGTTTCCTGAAAGATGAATTAAAAAAAGGTCAAAATAATTTACTTTAGCTTGGTTTCAATAGCAGAAGAGCCTTTTCTTTCATTTGGTCATTTTATGTCTTTGAACAGCACAATACCTTCAGTTTTGGGAGAAACGGCATTCGTCTGGTCTGTCCTGTCAGGAGGTTGGACTGAAACAGAAATATGCAACATCTCATTTTGGTGGGTACATTTTAAGCATTTTAAGTACATAATGAATCATAAATAATGTATTTATTTGATTTATAAATTCAGGGTATACATTTACCATATGTGTTGGTGACATTGATGGTTAGATTGGCATCCCCTTTCGCATCAATACCCGTAAACCGAGGTGTGATGATGAGACTTCCATGATCAGCGGTCAGTGGTGAGCGTCCTGCTTCCCTCTGAGTTTCAGCTGATTGAGAAAAGACAAAATAATCAGGGATTTTCTCGACCAACAGAACTAAGAAACTTAAACATGTTCCCTTTCACATTTTCAGGAGGGTTTTTTTGGGGGGGGGCCAACTTCTTCCGTACTGTACGACCCCTCGGAGAATCACCACCTTGACACAGTGGAGGGATTTGAAAACCTCCATGACTCTGGTAGGGCTACCCAAGGCCCAGAACTCAGAGACCAGGGCCCTCTGCTGCAGCCAGGCCTGGGAGGGGGTTGATTCCCTGGTGGCTGGACCGACACAAGGCTGGATGTAAGGGTTGGACCTTGTCTTGCTGAGCCCAGACTATGAAAGTTGGGTCTAAGGACGTCAGCTTTCTGGTGGGGAGGGAGTTGGTGTGGGAGGTGGAGCAGAACCAACAAGAGTTAGTCGACTTTACCTCTACGCACAAACCAACTGGAACCAAAACTATGGATAGGGTCTGACCGTAGTGGTAAAAGGTTCCCGGTGTGGGGGTACTTGTGAGCCCCCGGCTGAACAACAGGGCCGTCTCTCTGTGACTGAGGGTTTCTAAGGGGAAGGAATCTGTCTGTGGCGGGGAGTCCTAGAGAGCTCGGCGCCTGGGGATTCTACAGTAACATTATTGAGCAACAACTTCAGAATTTGGTCCGGCTTCGCGATACTTTGTGGAAAAAAATAGCTGGCTACTCTAAAAAGTCACATGATTTTGAAAATAGCCATCCCATCCATAAACTACTGGGAATGCAGTTGAACTGGCAGCATGTCATCGTAAGAGATGAAGACACCGAGTTGTTTTGTGTCCTCTATACGTATTGTGGGTGGACAGAATACCAAGAACACATTCCAAATTAATGAAATCTAATATTTAAAACATAAAAATGACAACAAAAACGTTTAAGCTTGAAAAAGCGAAGGGAAGTGCTTATTCCAGAACTATTGCTGTGTGTTGGGATGGAAATTTGATATTTTACTGTTTCACCCTGCAGGCTTCATTATTATAGACCAATGTTTCACTGTGTGGTTTTGATCATTCCATTAGGTTGCAGCTAGGTGAAGGTTCCCATGGGAAAGACGCTTAGAGTTTTCTTATCCGACTGTCCTTGTTGGGACTTCATCTTTGGTCCCTTCCTCCCTGAGACAGCTGCGTAATATAAAGTCACCTGTTTCTTCTCTGGCTCTTTGTCTTACACTGCAGAGTGTTTGCACTCTGTCTGTCTGATCCTTTGCAAAGAATAAAACCCTTAAAAAGACGTCTGGACTGAATTCTTTATTTCAGGAGACTCACTAAAGGAAAGAGTCGGCATGTGAGCTGTGTCGGCTGCGTTCAGACCTGCTTGAGCTCTTAAACAGGAAAACCACAGAAACGAAAACCTGCCGCTGAGTCACAGTTTGTGTTTGCGCACTTCTGAAACCTCGCAGCACAATGGTTATCACAAATGAATGAAAGGCTGATAGTAAGAACCATTTGCCCTCATTGCACCAGGAAGTTTAACTTGAGATAATTAGATTGAAAATATAAAATATGCTTTCTAATTTGGTTTAAGTTCCTGGTGGTCTCACACACACGAAGTCAACTATATGTTTTGCTTGTTTGCTTGAGTTTGTTTTCACATTAATCTGCTGTTTCTATCTTTAAGTTGCAGATTTGTACAAAGTACAAAGTACTGAAAAATAAAAGGAACCAGACAGTTGCTGCATTGATTAAACAGGAAGTGTGTTAAATTCATTAAACAGCTGAAACAGGTCTGAAACGCCTCCTGTGTAGACTTGATGGTTCCTTATCTTTTAACGGAGATCCAGAGTGCAAATATTTATCTGACATTTGCAAACTCAGACTTTCTGTAAAAGCATTTTATTTACATGTATTTGTCTTCATGGAGACCAAAAGCTGTGACATTATATCTGAACATCTTTGGACCTGTTTTTGTTCCACAGTGATCAGAATAACCCTCCTCAGACGGGCTGACAGGTTAGTTTTGTTTCCGCCTTCCTGTCCAAACAGGTTGAGTCTTGTTAAGTTTCACAGTTAGTCATCAGTCTCATTGTTGACTTTCTATTTTTGACAGAGCTGAACACTCACTATGACTGTTTCTACACAGAAGCGAGCTCATAAACCAAGTGTTAACAAGGAATGCATCTTACCACACTGTGATGTTACAGGAACAACGTCCCGGCCAGCCGAGTTTCCCATCCTGCATCCTTTCACCCACCTCCTCTGACCTCACGAGTAAAGAACAAACACTGCACAGAAAATAGTTACAAGGAACTGAAATAAAGTAGTGGCTTTCTGTCAAACGGTTTATAAAATACTAATTTTAAAAGTTTTCCTTTAAGCCCAGTTAATTTTAATGAGAGCAAAGAGGTCAGAAACTAAAGTCAGAAGTTGCTTCCTTCACTTTCCACCTGAGCTTTCTGCCCAGATTTGCCTTTAATAAGTAACCAGGAAGTGATTCTGCTTTGTGGTAACGCCCATTTTATTCATCAGAGTGAACTGAGATAATATACCATAAATTATAAAGTACAGTTAGTGCATTTTTACTCATTACACATCATTCTTTGGATACTACCATTATGGAAAGCACGATAACTCCCCACCCCTGAAACCAAACCTGGAATTAATGGCATAGAAGAAATTTGCATCGCTACCACATGAAGGTCAGAGTGATCAGGATGGTTGGTGTGTTTGAGACTTTGCAGTAGATGAAATTGAACGTGTTCACCACTTAAAGGGCCGGTGAACACCGTGAATGTGACGTGAGCGACATCTGCTGGTGAAATAGTGCAATCAATGAAAACATTTCCCAAAAGCTGCGACTTCATTTCCTACAGTGTTCAGACGATTGAGTCAAAGGAAGGGAGGATTTAGAGGAGGGTGGAAACAAGGGAAGGAAGCTAGGAGGCAGGACAGGATGCAAAAGGAAGGAGGGTTTAGGGAGGAAAAGGGGGGGGGGGGGGTAATAGGCTGTTGGGAAGGAAACGATGAGAAATAAAAATTAAGCGGGCGGGAAAAGTGGAAGGGAATGAAACACGAGAGGAAAGAAAAAGGAAAGGTAGGAAAGGAGACGCTGAACATGTTTGTTGAGGCATGTTCAGGTGAAGAGAAAATTCATTTGGACGCCTGCCATCAGCTTTAAGCTGTGGTTTTGGGTCTGTCGAAGTGTAACCGAGGCAAAGAGTGACGGGTTCAAACCCCCAAATAGCTAACTAACAGTTGCCGTAGGTTCCCGACAATTAAGATTCAGAGACATGAGTTTCGACTGGAAGGAGGACTTATTTTAATATATGAAAAAATAAATAAAATAAAAAAAAACCAACAGGTTTTTGGGCAATTTCATTCATTACACAAGCTCAAACCACCACCAAGATGTAGATGCCAACGCTGCCAGAAACACTCAAGGATAAAAGCAACCTGAGCATCTACAGAAGCCGGACATGCAGGAAGTTACCTGTGGGCCGCCCGGGTGCTTTGACACACTACATACAACTGTCATACACACACCAACACATGCAGTGAAGGGGAAAGGGGCTCCCAAAAGCCACCACCCTGTCTGTCTGGCTGATGAACTGAGGGAAATCATATAGCCAAACAAAACAAAAACAAAAAGGGACAATGGCCACCCCCGTAGCAGACCTTATCATCAGCAGGCAAAAACATTCACAGGGCCCATCCACCTGTAACGGTCTCATAAAATAGGATACAGAAGTACAAGCACAAATAGCAGCAGTTGATCAGGCAGGTAAAACAGCAGCAGCTATACAACCCTAAAGTTACAAGAATGTAATTACTTTAGTATTTATTTATTTTTTAACAAACCATACCTGCTAAATACCTTACAGATGATATTTACCTCACAATGCAGTAATTAGTCAACCCAGCTCTGACTCGTTTAGGGCCACTGCCATGTACGATGATAAGTCATGTGATCAAAGGCCACCTGTAAACACACAATCTAATAAACCAGCATAGCTCTACTAGATAGCATCTTTTTACCTCAGGGTTATCGACCTCCAGTGCCTCCTCTGCTGTGGACTTTAGCACGACAGGGTCTGGACGACAGGTGGCTTAAAATGCCTGTGATGAAAACAAATTAAAACACGTTCACATGAGTTAACATATTGTCAGCCTTGACGCATGACTTCTAGGAGACCTACCTGCTCCCTGACTGGATCACGATGGCCACAGAGAGATCCTGAGTGCTCCCTGTAAATCACCTGTTAGAGATCCACAGGTGTGCGCCTGCTTCTGGAGAGAGAGGGGGTGGAGCTTCCCTGAGAGGTTGCAGCTGATTGGGGCATTACTAGACCAAAAGCCCGCCTGTCACCCCATCACAGTAAAATGATACTTCCTCGAGTGTCTTGTGTTACTTTACTTTTAGCCTTTGTGAGTTTTCTTTCATGGTTTCTCAAGTGTAGAAAAAGGGAAACTAAGACTAGGACTCAAACTCAGGTCAACAAACAGAACAAGTTCAGTTCTTAAGAGGTTTATTAATAATCCAACACTGGGGTGGGGGTGGGGGGGCTTATGTGATGAAGAGACAGGCCAACGTCCAAAACCAGGGAGCAGTCCAAACATAACAAAGCAACCAAATCCAGAAAGACAAAAACTACCAAAGACTCATGTAAATAATCCAGAGTCTAAAAAATAAAAGAATGTAAAACCAAACAAACCAGGCTGAGGAAGATCACAGGGGAGGGAGGAGTGAATGATATATATGATTATGATTATAAACCACACATTAGATAAAGTTTATACAAACACTGAAAAGGGAAACACGTTGATTCTCTCTGTGATTATGGACCCTCGCCAAAACTGCCCGCCAACAATCTATCTGGCCCGCTGCCAGATTACGGTGCTTTGATAGCGGCATTAAATATAAATACCTAAACACTTTGACAGCTGCTGAAATAGATCTCTGACAGCGACAGTTACTCACATAATCACTTCCTCTTTAGTGGTTCTGCCTACAAAATAAAAGCGCAAGAAGCTTGTTTACTGTAATGCAGTATTTGGAGTTGAACTGAGCTTTTACTTTGAAAGAGCCGTCAGAGAACGTGATTCCCCTAAATGTGCTCTGCCTGGAGATACTGGGGAAATGAAAAAACGAAACGCTTTGTTTTCAGCTACTGTAGAAACATGACGATGCAACGTGGCGACGTCCATGGAAGGGGGTTCCCGTGGTTAAGTAGATATAAACGTCTCATTCTAAGGTAAAAACATAACGGTTTATTATGGAAGGTCTTTACACACCACTGAAAACATAGTTATGGATCTTATATTGCATTTCTGTCTGTAGATCCTCAGAAATATTACAGACTGGTCCTTTAAATACACAAGGGAGGTAATTAACAAGTCATAGATGGAGCAAACCATCAAACCAGTGGGAAAAACACAAGACAAGAGCAGGAAGTGAAGTGACCAGAGACAAGAGGAGAGTATAATACCAAAGTAATACAGGAAACTAGCAAGTGACGTTTCTACCCGCGGGTTTTAGCCATCTCGTTAGCGCGTCCGCCTCCCGTATCCAAGGTCTCCTGTTGAGTCAGGACGGTGCAACAGTACAACCAAAACAAAAACGTTTTCCTGCCCGTTTGTCTGCCCTGCAGTATATAGTGCCGCTCACTTATACTGTTGCGATGAAGTTATTGTCTCAGGAGGAGGCTCATGCTGAATGTTCATCAAGCTGACACAGTTATTCGGTCATGACGAAGAAAAGTTCAGGGCCAGTTAAAAACCCCAAACTTCTCTCCACCACTTTAAGAAGCTCACCAAATGATCAGTAACTTGGAGACCAAAAAAAATCTCTAAAACCGGCTAAAATCGGTGCAAAAGAGTTTTTATTCTACTAAAAGACAAAAACCCAAGTTGCATCCTAGCAGGGCCGAGTTCGGCACAGACAAAACGTTTTTCAACAGAAACGGTGGTTCCCTGAACATCCTGTTGTGAACGCAAGCGCAATGCATTTCCCTGCCTTCTTAACGCCGTTGTGTTTACAAACTCTTCGCAGATGACTGGATAACACCTGAGACACGCCCACCAAACGTGAGAAAACATATCTCGTAGCCTGTTGTGGAACGTTGCAGGGAAACGTGTAGTTCAATCTGAAAATGTTGCAAACCGGTGCAAAACGAGATTGAACTCGCCCCAGGCATCAGGCCTAAGTGTGCAGTTAACAAACGCCTCCTTTTTATAATCCTCAATCTCCGCCCACTTAGGCGACATTTTTACTCCTCCTTGATGTTTGCTGACCGCACCCTGACTGGCCTGTTCCGATGGTGAATTTCTTAGTCTGTGCTGACATCTAGTGGCAGCTTTAGTGTACTGTTTTACTCAAATCTTTATTAATCATTTTTAGTGAACTGTTTTTAACTATAATAACATGGTTTTTATGTTTTTTGAATGCTCTCATCCTAACATTCACCATTAGAACCTCTGGAAGGTCAAAATCATATTTTTTCAAAGACACACATGCATAATTTTACACCATTAAAACTTAAACAAATAAGATTCCATTTTCTAAAAAGATTAATAAATTTTCTGGTGAAACAATCATGTTTTCTGATCTTTTCTGAACATTTTTCTGATTTACTTAACATGTTTTCTGGTTATTATAATAATAATAATAATAATAATAATAATCTTTATTTGTAGAGCACTTTTCAAAAACAAGATAATAATACAAAAACAATACAAGACAAAAGCATGAAAACATTGAAAAGACTAAAATACACGTTTAAGATAAATGTAAAATTAGTAAAATAGAATAAAATAAAAGGGATAAAATAAAGTCAAATAAGATCGGGAAAGGCTCTCCTATAAAAGTACGTTTTAAGAAGGGACTTAAAAGAGTTCACTGACTCAGCCGACCTGATTTCCTCGGGCAGGCTGTTCCAGAGCCTCGGGGCCCTGACAGCAAACGCTCTGTCCCCTTTAGTTTTCAGTCGAGACTCTGGAACAGACAACAAACCTCTGCCCGAGGATCTCAAGGTACGTGCTGGTGCGTATGGGACTAAAAGGTCAGAAATATAAGGCGAGAGGCCATGAAGAGCTTTAAAAGTGATCAATAGAATTTTAAAGTCAATTCTAAAACATACTGGGAGCCAGTGTAATGAAGCTAAAATAGGAGTAATGTGGTCATATTTCTTTGTTCTGGTTAAAAGCCTGGCAGCTGAGTTCTGGACAGTCTGGAGTCGATCAATAGATTTTTGGGTTAAACAGGTGAAAAGGCTGTTGCAATAATCCAGGCGTGATGAGATGAAGGAGTGTAAAATGGCTCGGTGTCCTTAAAAGTTAACATAGATCGAATTTTAGCTATATTTCTAAGTTGATAAAAACATGATTGAACAAGCTTTGTGGTGTGCTGCTCGAAATTTAAATTACTATCAAACCAAACACCAAGGTTCTTTGCCACAGGCTTAATGTGATTTACTAGGGAACCATCTGCTGGGACCCGATGACCAGGATTTCTATTTGTCTGAGTTCAGTTGGAGGAAATTATTGACATCCATTTTTTAACTTCACAAAGCAGTTGTTAAGTGAACTCAGCATTCCAGGGTCTGTGGATCTGACGGGCAAGTATATTTGTGTGTCATCAGCATAAATATGAAAAGAAATGCCATGTGTATGGATAATATGTCCAAGGGGAAGCAGATACAAGGAAAACAAAATGGGTCCTAAGAACGACCCCTGAGGCACACCATATTTAACTGGACAGAACGAAGAGACATAGTTGTTTACAGACACGCAAAACTTCCTATTTGACAGGTAGGATGAAAACCATTCTAGAGCAGTACCAGAGATCCCCACCCAGTGCCTCTGTCTGTCTAACATGATGTTGTGATCAATGGTGTCAAAAGCAGCGCTAAGGTCCAGGAGTACCAGGACTGAGCACATACCTTCATCAGCAGACATTAAAAGGTCATTGGTGACTTTAAGCAGGACAGTCTCAGTGCTGTGGTACTTCCTAAAACCAGACTGAAACTTTTCAATAATTTGTTATTTTCCAGTACAGTGAGCAGCTGTTTGGACACAATTCTTTCTAGAATCTTTGCAATAAAAGGCAGTTTTGAAATTGGTCTAAAATTATGTGGGAGGGAGGGATCAAAACCAGGTTTCTTTAAAGGTGGGTTCACGCAAGCCGTTTTAAAATAATCAGGGACACAACCAGTAGATAGGGAGCTGTTGAAAACAGAGATCAAATGGGGCCCAACAGAATCCATTATTTTCAGTAAAAATTTTGTAGGTATTACATCAAGTGGGCCGGAGGACACTCTCATTTGTGATATTGTTTTTAAAAGCTCAGACAAGTCGATGGGATAAAACTGGTTAAAACTCTTCTGTTGCTGGTGAGGGACCTCTGAGTAAGAGTCCACGGGGGTAATAGAGGCTCTGATTGACACCACCTTATTGGTAAAATAAGATAAAACAATTCACAGTCATCATTACTTCCAGCTGAGGCACAAGGAGGGGTTGGGTTTACCAGCTGATCCACAGTCTTAAACAGAAACTGGGATTGTGTTTATGTGTAGTAATGAGTTCAGAAAATAGTGTGTTCTCGCATCCTAACCATGTTATTGTAGTTAATTAATAAATCCTTCAGACTGAGGTAATGGACTTGGAGACTGGATTTTTTCCTGCATTCCCTTTTTAGGCTGCGAATGCTGTCATTTATCCAGGGTTGCTACTAGCTTTAGACGTAGGCCTAACCTTTAGAGGAGCAGTAATATTTAGTGACAATGGATTTAAAATGATTGGTTATACAACAATCATTTTAAATCAACTATGGTGCTTTTAAGACCCTACTGCAATATCGTGTTTTATTATATTTCACAAACCAATGTTTCCCCTTGCAGTCTTATTAGTAATTTTCTTGGCATAAACAATCAGCCGTCTGTTGCTCAGCTACGTGGACTATTTTATGGCGTTGACACGTGTGTTCTTCAGGCAGATACTCGTTATATTGATGCATCGGGCACGTATCTCTCTCTGTTCTCTGGCCTTTCTGCAACTCAGTGAACAGATACTTCTTATCTGTCTCTGGCCCTTGACCCAGAGTACAGCTTATAATATATAATAAATATATATAACAAACATGCAGAGAATGATTTAACGTTACATCATTAACACAATAATCACACTCAAACTATATCAAACTATATAAAACTATCATTAAGATAACAATTAATGCTTTAAGAACAAAAAATATACACAACATGCCCCGCCCTAATTAGTTTCACTTGTGTATTTAGT